TGAGTTTAAAGTGTCAAATCAAGAACAGCCAGGCTCCAGTGGCTAATGCCTATAATCCTAGCTACTTGGGGTACAGAGTTCAGGAGGATTGCAGTTTGAGGCCAGCCCAAGAAAATAGTTTGTAAGAACCCATCTCCAAAATAACCAGAGCAAAATGGACTGCAGCTCAAGAGTTAAGAGTGTCTGCTTTGTGAGCACAAAGCCTTGAGTTCACTCCCACAAAGGGAAAAGTGTCAAAATCATCAGCATTTGTTCAATGAACAAACAAGCTCAGTCAGGTCTAATTTCTGACATTCTAATTCTTAACTCGGTAATATTCATCTGAACCGGCAACTGGTTATTTATTTTTGTGGTACTGGGGCTTGAACTCAGGGCCTTCACCTTGAGCCACTCCACCAGCCCTATTTTTGTGAATGTTTTTTTGAGATAGGGTCTTGTGGAACTATTTGCCTGGTCTGGCTTCAAACCATCGTCCTCCTGATCTCTGCCTCCTGAGTAGCTAGGATTACAGACATGAGCCATGGGTGCTGGCCTGCAACTGGTTATTATGTTGCTAGTCAACATATATTTTATTTGCATATTTAAGAATAAGATAATAGTATGTATTACCAGCCATTATCTGTGATGGGGCTTTTGTCTTTAGAGAAGATGAATAAAGGAAACAAACTCATACTTAACATGATACATTGTGAAGTGACCCCAATTTCCTTCCACATTACACTACTGTTTTTAATTTTATTATAAAATTGACTCATTTAGCTCACTGAGGACAGATTTAGATAACCTTGATGAGACAAATTTCTGGCTCCATTACAACATACTAACACAGAAAGCAAAATCCTCATGTAATGTTCCCTCTTTGACTGAGACTGTGAATATGATCTTGACATTGCTATGGGACTTCCTGAGTCATACATAGCAATACCACAAAAACTAAATATTTTTTCTTCTTGTGGTACTAAGGTTTGAACTCAGGGCCTTGCATTTGCTAGGCAGGTGTTCTACCACTTAAGCCACACTGCCAGGTCCCACAATTTTTAAAGCCTTGAAACAAGGCAAGTTTGGCCTTGAGAGGGTTCAGCTACCAGTTTCTTGGGACTCAGCGGGTATTTCATATGTTCCCACTACTTGGCCCTTTTGTACATGCATCTCTGTCCAAATGAGGGCAAGATCTAATATGATTTATTTTGTGGCACTAGGGTTTGAACTTAGGGCCTCATACTTGCTAGGTAGGGGCTCTACCACTTCAGCTACTCTGTTAGTTCCTAACATGGCTTTATTATAGAATGAGCTTCTGTTGGTCTCCTGGTAAGACAATGAGTACAATGGCTGACACAGCATCCTTGCTAGTTCTGGTTATAGCTATGGTACAAAGATGGAAGTGCTATTTATTATACTGGCAGACAGAACTTTCTGCTGAGTATCACTCATGAGTGTATCTTCCTGGCAAGGGATACATTGGGTACTCTTGCACCTGCCAACAACTCAGGCACCATGTAGTTAGTTAATTTTTGCGTCAACTTGACTGGGCCATGGAATCCCTAGATATTTGGTCAATCATTATTCTAGGTGTTTCTGTGAGGGCTTTTTGGGATGAGATTAACATTTAACTTGGTAGACTGAAGAAAGTACATTGACCTTCCTCATGTGGGTGGGCCTCTACAATCAGTTGAAGGCTTAAAAAAAGGCTGGGGCTCCTGAGCAAGGATCTTCCTTCCTGTCTGTGGGTTTTTTTGCTTTTGCTTTTTGGTATTGGGACTTGAAACTCAGGGCCTACACCTTGAACCACTCTACCAGCCCTTTTTTGTGATGGATGTTTTCAAGGTAGGATCTCGCAAACTATTTGTCCAAGCTGGCTTCCAATGGAGATCCTCCTAATATCTGCCTCCTAAGTAGCTAGGATTACAGGCATGAGCTACTGGCACCAGGTTCCTAACTGCCTTTGAACTGGCACACTGACTTTTTTCCTGCCCTCACAGACTCAAACTGAAACATCAGCTCTTCCTAGATCGTGAGCCTGCTGATCTTCAGACAACTACACCATCAGCTCTCCTAAGTCCTCAGGCTTTTAGACTTAGAGTGGAGCAAAACCATGCATTCTCCTTGGTCTCTAGCTTGCTGACTCACCCTGCAGATCTTGGGATTTGCCTGCCTCTATAATCATTCCAGCCAGTTAACTCATAATAACCCCCCCTTCACCCTATTGACTGCTTCTCTGTAGAACCCTGGCTAGTGCACATGCTCAGGTCTTCTCCCTGATTTTCAAGGCTTCATACACCAATCCAAACAATGTATCTGCTAGATGAGACCTGAGAGCTGAAGGCCTTGTAGTCCTAAAAGAGAAGACACAAGACTACACCAGAAAGTCACACATGATTTGTCAGCCTTTATTAACCAAGAGTGAAGCCGAGCCCTGGAGTTTCCTTTTAAAAAACCCAACCTTGTGCATGGTAAACAATGATTTAATTCTTAATGACTTTTAATTACATGTTCGATACCACAGAGCAAGAATTATTTGCTTTCTAATCACTTATTCTTCTGAGATTAAACTACAAGTGTAAACAAGTTAAAAGAAGATTCACCTCAACGATTTAAAAAATAATTCCAATTGAAAGACAATTTAAACAACATGTGTAGAACTTAGGACCAAAAGATGATCTTAAAATATTTTTACCTTTGAGGTAGCACAATAATGCTGAATTAAGTTTCTTTTATTACAATGAACTTAAAAAAACAATAAGGAATCTATCCTTTGCTCAAGGTGGGTTAAATGGTTTTCTGCAAATCCCCCATGAGGTTAGTGACAGGTTTTTTGTTTTTTTGTTTTTGTTTTTTCTTAAAGGTATAAAGATAGCCCTACAGTATGTAAAAGGAAACCCATGGGAAGGCTGTTCCCATAAAACAGACATTAGAATCACTGAGGAACGTCAGCAGTCAAGACAGGAGGAACAAGAGGTAATCGTAGTGAAAAATCAAAACAACTCGTATCTTGGCAAGATTGGTTTACAAGTGCATGTCAAAAACAAAAATTCCAACATCAACTAACTGAAAACAAAAGATAAAAGATGACATTCATGGGTCCTTTTCCTTTTTCTCTGTACAAAATGCTTTCACTTTTTCTAAATGAGAGAAGACTGTATTATCCTATGACATGCCACAAAATACTGTGTACCCAGAGTGCTGGGTGCCAACAGTATCACTCACTGACTACTCCACCATCTCGAGCAGAGAACCTGGGAAATCAGAGGATGAACATAACCTCTCCTGGCTAGAGAATTATTTTCTTGCCACCTTGCTGCTGAATTCGCTTAGTATTAAACTGCTCAAAGAACAGCTCTACTCTGATTTCTGACAATCTATAGCAATTACATATAATTATATATGAAGACTGTGGACTGAGGACAAGAATATACAAAACCTCTCTTTCAAAGACTGAAACCAAAAGAAGAGAGTGACTGGGATAAGCTGGTGACTGAAAGGATGCAGGCTGGATCTCAAGCCTCTCAGGAATATTCTTTACCATTCAAAATCAACAGCAAAGGCAGAAAAGAGGGTATAAAGCTCTCACCCTCAGAAGAGAACATGAAACAGTTAACAAATGAATCTCTTCTCAACATATACTCCTCCCAATGAGGCTCAATCACCAGTGTATGGCTTGCCTGGGACAATGAGGACACCCTAGCCCTGAGTCACACATGGTTTGCCACCTCTGATTCTCCAAGTTGCAAAAGGAACACTGTCAGGTTCTGGCACTGTGGTAATGGCTATGTCACTCACACTGGGTCCCTTCAATGTCTTCCTTCCTAAAGCTGGATGTATTCCCCCTCACCCACCACAGGGGCACTATATGCAATGAGAGTCTGGACTCATGATCCATATGTCACTCAATAGTTAGATCAGGAGGGCTTGAACCTGATAAATTCTACTCTGTAAAATAGCAAGCTTTATTGGGTCAGGGGTATCAAGAAGGACTCTGAAAGGGAAGACTAGACTGGGATGTGTGAGAGGGGAGGATGAGAAGGCCCATCCCTAGCAGCCTGCAGGAGTACCTCTGGCACAAGATTCACATTCAGCCCTAACCAATGCTGGCAAGGTGAAGGTAGGGAGGAGGCATCTGCTCAGCGTTCAAAGTCTGGGGCTGGATTTCTGTTATTCCTGAAGCCTAACGTACCTATTATCTTTGCAAGAAACAGCTGTAGTTCTTGTCAAAGTGCAAGATCTGCTTTCTGAATTTAATAATAAAGCAACACTGTAGAAAAGAAGAACCTTAGAAAAATGTGGGATCACCACGTGGGCTTTCCCAGCGCTAGCTGCCTGTTTTGGAGTATTAGTTACAACTTTTCATGATTTTAAGAGTTGCAGTATAGGCAACCTAGGGCAGTCTGAAAAGAGTCCTGCTTTTACTTCATGGACTGCAAGAAAAAAAAAAGAGGAATAACCAAGGTTGTGGTGGGTTACCCACTCGAGAAATCTCTTGGCTACAGTGTCCATCACAAAAGCAGAGCCTAACTTATGTGGACAATGGAGGTGACTATATGAGCTTTATCATTATCAACAACAGGAATGATTCAAGCTCCAGCTTGAATCTCTCAGGGATTTACTGAGTAATACATGTTAAAAAGGAAAAAAAAATCATATTAGCAAGGGCCTTGATTTATATAAATTTGTCTTACACTTAAATTTATCTTTATGCAAATTTCACACTGCTCCTAGAATCCCTATAGCATCTGATTCTGACAAAAAAAAATTTCATTATGAAATATAGTTATTTAGGGTAATTCATTAAAATTCTATCTGATACGATCCCAGCACCAAAAAAAAAAAAAAAAAAGACAAAAAAAAATTCTATTTGATATAACTAAAGGTTAAAAAAAAGTTTTAAAAACAAGCTGAATTACCTTCTTCTGGGATTAACAATTAGATCCCCAAATATTCCAACATTTTGATTAGAAAGGAGTTCACAGTAATTCTGAGCTTGTAATAGTTTTTTTTTTTTTTTTAAAAACAGTGCTGGAGACCGAACCCAGGGCCTTGAAAATGCTAGGCAAGCGCTCTATCACTAAGCTACACCTTCCAGTTCCAATGATGCCAATTTTAGAAGCTAACAGAGATCTTTAGGATGAATGCCTGAGTCAGCTGATAAAGTCCAACATACAGGAATATGTCCAAGGGGATTCCCTAAAAAAATAGCTTCTTCTTTGAAGATTTTAAAAACTGATGATCAACAGCCAAGCTATGCAACAACTCTGATGGAAGGAAAGGGCTCTCTGTGTAACAAAGCCTGTTATCAGCATACTGCCTTTAGCCAGTGGCAGCAACCAGAAACAAGAAGTGGGCAGGAGTTGCTCAGCAAAGTATTTAGGTCGCATAAATTGATGACGCCTCCAGACCCTGGCTCCTTATTTCAGCACCACTTTCTCACCAGCTGAGCTAACTGGCCATCCCTGGCTCCTTATAAATGGATAGTAATTTGTTCATGCAAACTGCACAGAGATTAAACAAAACAAAATAAAACCTATTTAAAACAAAAACAACAACAAAATCCAGAAAACCTTTCCTGGCTCTCTACTATTGGTAAAATGCACTGAATCCAGAACTTCTGCTCTCTTGTGGGTCCCAGTGACTTCTTAGTCTGCTCTGGAGTACTAAGCTGCTGGGCCCTTGGCAGGGTCTTTCTCTAAGCATTAGTGTGGGCTTGGAGACAGCTGTAATTTGTGCAGCCATCAGAAGACTGGACCATAGACCTCCATCATATCTGCTGCCATTTTCCACTGTAAAACCAAAGGCAGCAATTGTGAACATATTATGGATTTTCTCAAAAGACAGATGACCGAAAGCTACATTTCCTCCTTTGAGAAAGACTGGAGGAGGGGTGTCTACAGTTATTCAACAGGTTTCTCCAGAACTTATGTTAACTTCCAAAAGCAATAGTAGCAGCAAGAAAGGAAAAGGAGGATGTTTACACTTTGGACTTTGTATCAGGCACTTAAAATTGTTGGAGAGACATGCCATTCTGAACCAAAAGATGTGAAAACTGGGTTGGAGTAATCATTACAAGTGGTCTAATAATGGGCTTTCAGAAACAAAGTGGAGGTGTGGGTAGAACCTCTGTCCATCCTTCAGTGCTGACTTTCAAGTTTTCTAAATGCCCATAACCACAGCAATGGCAGCGGCGATGATAACAGCAGAACGGTTCTGTCGTGTCTGTTTTCTGTGTATGTTCTGTGGCTGACCAGAAGGTTTTGGTGTCACACTGAGAAGGCTCTGGGATGTGGCACATCTATTCTCCGGGGTTGATCAGATCCATGCTGGAGCCAAACATCTTCACCAGTTGTTCCTCATAGTGTGAGATATTCCTCTTCATGATGTCCATGCAGGGCCCCAGAAGCCTCTCAAATGCTTGAACATCCATAACTGCATTGTTAAAAAGAGGTGAGGGAGAGAATGAATTAAGAAATCAAGTTATTTCTCTCATGGAAACCTTGTTTTAAACATACTAATGTTACAGGAGATTAGAACTGGGGATACTGCCCACTTGGGAAAAGGGGTGTTTCTATATAAACACAGCAGGACTGTGGCATCTATGTTTAAGATTTACACAGCTCAGCAGCACCTGTTTGCCTGTTTCTTCACAAATCTGGACACCTGTCTCCATTACTGCCCTTTTTGCCTGGATAGAGGGCCTATATGTCTATCTTACTCACAGGCTGTATTCAGTAGGCAAAAATGTTTGCTAGGGTGTTGAGTTTACCTTTGTGGTGAAGCAAATGTTCAGCATGTGTGAGGTCCTAGGTTTAATGCCCAACATTGCCCCTCAACCTCTCCCACCCCCCACAAAAAAAAAGTTTGCTGAAAGATACAGTTACTCATTTCTGATCCGTTGCACAAATTGTCCAGTCCTGGGTGTGTGTGAGAGCTGACAGAATAAGTGAAGATTTGCTGACAGGAAAAATACTGCACATTAGCCGTATTAATGCACAAAAAATTTTTCTTACCTAAGCACTTGACATCTCCAACTGCATAAGCTGAAGCAGCTCTGGGTTTGTTGGTGACCAGTGCAAGCTCTCCAAAGTACTGCCCCTTATGGCAGCGAGCAATTTCAACCTCTTGGTTCCCACCATCCTTGTTTGTTTTAGTCTACAGCAAGTAGAGAAGATAACCTGGGCTGACTCTAGGGTTGTAACTGGGCATGTACAGTTATACAAACTCACGTTCCTTTCTCAGCACATTCAACACACTTTGCAAAAACTCTAACTGTACCATGTAAACTCCATGGATAAATCTTAGTGGTCTGGTTTGAATCAAGGAAGTTGGCTATTACCTGGAGCTTCATCCAACTCTTAACATCTTTTAGGTAATGGCTAAATATCAAAGGGAGATGCAGACCATTTTCTGTAGAAGATGCAGACTTCTGCATCTTTTGTGGGCAATGCAGACTTCTGAGGTACACTGGAAAAGCTATGGTCTTCTGCTAATTCTTTCTAAATAATGGCAATTTTCTTATAGAAAATAAGCTATAACCCTGGACTGCTCTTTAAATTGAGACTGGGTCTATCTCTAGCATTTTTGTTTTCAGTATTGGAAACTGAACTCAGGGCCTTGTACTTGCTAGGCAAGTACTCTACCATTTGAGCTATTCCCTCAGCTCACTATTCTTTATGGTAACAAAATTTCTTTTGCCTTTTTTTTTGTGTGTGGTACTGAGGTTTGAATTCAGGGCTTATACACTGAGCCACTCCACCAGCCCTTCTTTGTGATGGGTTTTTTCAAGATAGGGTCTCACGAAATATTTGCCTGGGCTGGCTTCAAACCTTGATCCTCCTGATCTCTGCCTCCTGAGTAGCTAGGATTACAGGTGCGAGCCATCGGTGCCCAGCTTGCAACATTTCTTTTTAAGTATGTACCTTAAGTTAGCTCCCTTTCTCACATTTTATTACTTTTTTATTCTTTTTAACATTTTTATTAATTTATAATAGTTGTTTTCCTGTGACATTTCCATATATGCTTATGATGTATCCCTATTTGATTTATCCCGTTATTATCCCTCTCCATGCATTCATTCATTCATTCACTCACTCATTCATTTGGTGGTACTGGGGTTTGAACTCAGGGCCTCATATTTACTAGGCAGGTGCTCTTACCATTTGAGCCACTCTGCCAGACCCTTTTTGTGTTGGGTATTTTCAAGATAGGGTCTTGTGAACTATTGGTTTGGGCTGGCTTTGAACCGTGATCCTCATAATCTCCGCCTCTCAAGTAGCTGGGATTACAGGCATGAACCAATGGCCCTGGCCTCTTCCCTATTTAAATTTGGTGTTACTGGGGTTTGAACTCAGGGCCTTCTTCTTGTTAGGCAGATGCTCTACCACTTGAACTATGCCTCCAGCTCCATTTTAAAGAAGAGTTAAGTAACAGCATACTTAAAAAAAAATTAGATATCACATTATATTTAATATTCAAGGTTTGTTATGATTATCTTACAAATTTATCTCCTAAACTAAGCAGTAAGTTAAGTAAAAAATTACTTAAGCCAGGTGCAGTGGTTCAAGCTTGTTATCCTAGCTACCTGGGAAGCTGAGGTTGGGAGGATCACAGTTTGGGGCCAGTCTGGGCAAAAAGTTCACAAGACCCCATTTCAACCTGTCATCCCAACAATGGCAAACATAAAACAGGAAGACAGTGGCCCCAAGCAAAAAGAGAGAGACTCTCTCCAAAACACCAGAGCAGCTGGCAGAGTGGCTCAGGTGGTAGAGCGGCTCAGGTGGTAGAGCAACTGTCCAGCAACTGTGAGGACCTGAGTTCAAACTCCAGAACTATCCCTCCCCCAAAAAACACACAGAGCAAAAAGCAAGATTCTCTCTCCAAAAAAAAACCAGAGTAAAAAGGGCTGCAGGCATGACTTCAGTGGGAGAGTACCTGCCCAGCAAGAAGCTCTGAGTTCAAACCTTAGTACTGCCAAAAAAAAGTTATTTAGTATTACTAAGAACTAAGTCTCATAAGAACCTCTGATTAAAAAAAAACAAACAAAAAACTCTGATATTACAGGAAGACAGATAATTCTTTGTTCTTGAAGGTTAAGTTTAAACATAAACTGCCACTCTACTTTTTCCATGGTTTAGCATTTTCTCCATCTACACTTCTGCCTTGATCTGTTAGCAATAAAGTTGGTCTGCCTCACGTGAGTCAATGTTCTTCTTCCAATTTCTGTAGCATTCTCTGGCATGGCAGATATATCCATATCTACTTAGTCCCTTCTCTAAACAGAACTTACTGTACTGTCACATGCACACAACAGCTCCCTTAACACCCTGTATGTCTGGGGCAGATCCCATGATTCTGCATTTCTCACAAGCCTTCCAACTTCCCAGTGTGACGCTGCTCCTGGAACCACCTACCTAACACTAGGCTGTGATAACAGAATGTGCCAGTGAATATTTGAGAAATGAACAAAAACATAGCAATAGTCCAAAAACTGTACATGAAAGAATATAGAAGTTTCAAGCTTGTTTTATGTGAAATGATAGGTCTATTTTTAACTAAGAATCAAGTTATCAAGCTGGGCATGGTGACACATGCATACAACGCCAGCACTTTGGAGGGTGAGGCAGAAGAATTGTGGGTTTGAGGCTACCTAGGCTACATAGTGAGTTTGAGGCCAGCTTCAGCTAGACAAGAGACCCTGTCTCAAAAATCGAGCTGTATTATAGACAGTAATAATCATAATTCTCTTTCTCTCTTTTGGTGGTACTCAGGTTTGAACTTAGAGCCTTGTGCTTGCTAGGCAAGTGCTTTACCACTTGAGCCACACCTCCAACTCTTTTTGTTTTAGTTTACTTTTCACGCTTTTTGCCCAGCACTGGCCTTGGACTGCAGTCCTACCACCTGATTCATGAGTAGCTGGGATTACAGACATGCACCACCATGCCTAGCTTATTTTCTGAGATAGGGTCTTGCTAACTTTTGCTGAGGCTGGCCTTGAACTCACAATCTTCCTGCCTCCACCTCTCCAGTGCTGGGATTACAAATGTGTGTCAGCCTACCTAACTTCTTTTTTAGGACTGGGGTTTGAACTCAGGGCCTATACTTTAAGCCATTCTACAAGCCCTTTTTTTGTGAAGAGTTTTTTTGAGATAGGGTCTTGCAAACTATTTGCCCAGGCTGGCTTTGAGTGATCCTCCTGATCTCTGCCTCCTGCATAGCTAGGATTATAGGCGTGAGCCACTGGCACCCAGCCATACCTGACTTCTTATTCCACAGTTTTAACCTTTACTAAATACATTTTGCAGTACGTTTCATATTAGGCTGATGTAGTAGTATACATAATTTATTATTTTAACAAATTCTGTATTCTCCAAAAGAAAAGAATGAATGATAGAGAAAAAAAAGTTAACAGTGAAATCTGATGATGATGGATTTACTGTTAAGAATCATTCTTCCCAGAGTCTTTGCTCCCATTTCCTGTGTGGGGAACAGGAAATATTTCTTTCTTTTCTTCCCCCATTCCTCTCCTAATAAACTTTACTGTTACTTTTACTGAAAAAAAAAAAATCACTTTTCTCACTTATAGGTCATCAGTTTTTTGGATCTCCCCATTTATGAAATGGCCATGGTTAATAACAGCATCCAGGAGACTTTACCTGGTAGCATTCTAAAAAAGGGAACTTTCTTCATCCCCACCCATGTGTGTTTTTTATTACATAATTTCCCAATTTTTATTATTTATTTGGATTTTTCTTTCTTATTCACTTGTAGAAAAATATCATTAATTATATGGCAGAAGCAAAGGCAAGAGGATAACAGGAAATACCCTAAATCCATACTGATGGATGGGTTTTAATGTGGGTCTCTGGTAGTGACATATCTCACACAACAATGGCTTGATATTCTAAAACACAATTCACATTATTTAAAGTGAACAGTTACTTTCTGTGTGTGTACACCAGGTATTATCTTCAAAATACCACACATAAACTTACCTTGCTTTTTATCAAAATGCTCACTTCACCAGATTCAATACCACACATAAACTTACCTTGCTTTTTATCAAAATGCTCACTTCACCAGATTCTATGATGTAAAAGCTATCAGCCTTGTCGCCCTGAAAGAGAGAAGTTCAGGTCAGAGTCATACACAGCATTGAAAAGAATCACAAAAGTAAGATTGTTTTCTCACTGCCTGAGCTCTCTTCTATATTTATTTCAAACTCTAAAAATGAATCGATGCTTAACAAATTCAGAATAAAACAAGTGGATTCTGATCACTGAGGACATTAACCCAACTATAACTGACACACCTCCCACATCTTAAGTATTCACATTTATCTCTGTACAGTTTTCACCTTAACTGTACACAGCATGGCTGTTCTGACTGACTGCTCATGTTGGTCTGCTACTAAAACTTACGAGAGGGACCAGTAACCAAGACCATTAAAGATAGTGTCAAAGTGACTGCTGGCTTCTTCTTCTTTTTTTTTTTTAAAGTTTTAACAAGGATTTTTTGGTATAACAGGATAGAGTACAGCAAAGTTTTTTTTTTTAAAAAAAAGGAGAGCCAGGCACTGGTGGCTCACACCTGTAATCCTAGCTACTCAGGAGGTAGAGATTAGGAGGGTCGCGGTTTGAAGCCAGCCCAGGCAAATAGTTCATAAGACCCTATTTTGAAAAAACCATAAAAAAAAGGAGGGTTGGTGGAATGGCTCAAGGTGTAGGCCCTGAGTTCAAGCCCCAGTACTGCGAAAAAAAAAAATTCCTGCTCCCTGTGTAGGAAATGGGAGTAACAGATTCTCCTGGCTAGTTTTTTTTCTTCTTCAGTACTGGGGTTTGAACTCAGGGCTTCAGGCTTATAGGGAGGCACTCTACCACTTGAGCCACTCCATCAGTTCTTTTTGATGTTGGGTATTCTTTTTTTTTTTTTAAAGGATGATTCTTATTTATTTTTTTGGCAGCACTGGAATTTGAACTCAGGGCTTCATGCTTGCTAGGCAGGTGCTCTTACCACTTGAGCCACTCTGCCAGCTGATGTTGGGTATTCTAAAGATAGTGTCTCACAAACTATTTGCCTGGGCTGGCCTCAAACTGTGATCTCCTGATATCTGCCTCCAAAGTAGCTAGCTAGGCATGAGCCACCAGTTCCAGGCTGGCTACTTCTTGAGTATGGGGTTCAAGGATAATCTTCATCATCAAATATAGCCCTTGAGAGGACAGTATGGATCTAAAAGCCTGTCTTAGTGAAGGAGGTACTTTGAAACCACCCTTTATAAACTTCAGGCTTTTCTTTTGTTGTTTTGATTTAAAACCACCTGGCTGAACCAGTCATTCAGGTAATTCAGAAAACAGTTTACTAAGAACTTACTGTGTGTAAGGTACTGTCATAGGGATGTAAGATCTATCCATGGAACTTAAGTCTGGTAGGGTAAATAAACTATAAACAACCAACATAACGAATCAGTAAACTATACAGTTGTGTTGGAAGGTGGTTTGTACGATAGAAAAAAAGTAGAACACGGACTATGGGATTCACTGAGAGGGTGAAATCTGAGTAAAAGCTGGGAGAAGATGAGCTGGGTGCCAGTGGCTCACGCCTGTAATCTTAGCTACTTAAGAGGCAGAGATCAGGAGGATTGATGTTTGAAGCCAGACCAGGTAAATAGTTTGTGAGAGTCTATCTTGAAAAAAAAAAAAAAAACCATCACAACAAAAGGGATGGTGGAGTGACTCAGGGTGTAGGCCCTGAGTTCAAATCTCAGTACTGAAAAAAAAAAAAAGAGCTGAAAGGTGAGACTTAGGTAAGCAGATATAGGGAAGACACTCTGTGACACACTTCAATTAACTTCTGGAGTACGACCATCCACACTGAATTTAATTTGATACTAATCATGTGCTCTCAGTGTGGATCTTATATTTTCAGTAAGAATTTATATACTTCTGAGCACTCACAAGACTTTATGTCCTTTTACCACAACACAGAACCCCAAGAGCAAACCACACACAGCTGAGGCTGACTATCCTGAGTTAACCTAAGTTAATTTAGCCCCAGGTTATATCTCTGCCCTATATGAGTGAAAACCACAACTTAAAAGCGATTTCTGTGCTATTATGTTGGGTACAGGTACCCTACATTCAGCTGAACCAAATCACCTAGGAATTCTAGCATTACACAAACAATTGCATGATGTGAGCAAAAAAAAGATGGGAAGCCATGAAGAAAACTGAGGGATTGGAGGCAGGATCACTAGGAAGGAGAGGTATTTCTAGATCTGAGAAGAGAGTTTCATTAGTATTCAGTGATAAGGGAGGTCAAGAGTAATAAAAGATTCAAGTGCATATGGGGCGCCGGTGGCTCATGCCTGTAATCCTAGCTACTTGAGAGGCTGAGATTGGGATGACTGCAGTTTAAGGCCAGCCCAGGCAAATAGTTTGAGAGACCCCATCTCCAAAATAATCACAGCAAAATGGACTGGAAGTGTGGCTCAAGTGGCATAATGCCTGCTTTGCAAGAGTGAAACCATGAGTTCAAACCCTAGTCCCGCCAAAAAAAAAAAAAAAAAGATTTGATGTGTGGAAATGTACTGGTGATCAAGAAGAGGGTGGAGACCAGGTGCCCATGGCTCACACCTATAATCATAGCTAATCAGGAGGCAGAGAACAGGAGGATCGTGGCTCAACACAAAAAAGGGCTGGCAGAGTGGTTCAAGTAGTAGAGCACCTGCTTGGCAAGTGTGAGACCCTGAGTTCAAGTTTCATTACTGCAAGAAAAAAAAAAAAGGCTGGGGGTGGGGCGCATAGTTCTAGTATGAAGCCCTAGCTTCAATTTCCAGTACCACATACAACAACAAAAACAAAAGTGGCCGGTCAACATCTCTCATTTCTGCAACTCAGCTCTACATCCGCAAAATATCAGGATACCTGCATTAAAACAACAGCTCACACTACTGGCCTTTGCTCACATGGTTTTCTTGCCCTGGAAGATCTTTTTCTGACCCAACTGCTGAAATTGCACTTTCTCTTTCTCCCTTTCTATTTTGGCAGTACTGGAATTTGAACTCAGGGCTTTGGGCTGGTGAGGCAGGTACTCTACTGCCAGAGCCACACCTCCAGACCATTTTGTTCTGGTTATTTTGGAGAGAGGGTCTTACTTTTTTTCTAGGCTGGTCTGTACCTCAATCCTCCTATTTTTCACTTCCAGTCATTTGCTGCTGGGATGACAGGCATGAACCACAATGCCCAGCTTTCTCCCATTGAGTTGGGATCTTGCAAACTTTTCTCCCCCTTGTCTGGTCTGGAACCTTGATCCTCCTTGATCTCAGCTTCCTGCATAGTTGGGATGTCAGGCACATGCTACCACTTCCAACTATTGGTTGAAATGGGGACTAACTATTTGCGTAATATAGCCTTGAACCATAATCCTCCTGATTTCAATCTTCCAAATAGTTAGGATTACCAATGCCTATCTTCCTTTAAGTTCAGCTCAACTGGCTGAAATCATATGGATTACTTCCTTTTTTGTTTTTACTTTCTTCTTATAATCTTCAATATAGTGCTTATTATATCTAGTCTTACTTATTTATCGTAATATTTATAGACTCAAACCAATCTTTTTAAAACAGGATCTCACTATATAGCCCAGGTTGGCCTTGAATTTGTAATCCTCCTGCCTCAGCCTCCTAAGTGCTGGGATTACAGGCATGTATCACCACACATGGCTCAAATCAAATTCTAATTAAAAGAATTATTAGGGCCTGGCAAGATGGTTCATTCCTGTAATCCCAGCTACTTGGGAGGACAGATATGAGGAGAACCAGCCCAGGCAAAGTTAGCGAGAGTCTGTCTCAATCAACAAACTAGGCATGATGGTGTATATAATCCCAGCTATGCAGGAGGCATAGGTAGGAGGATCACAGTCGGAGTCAGCCCTGGGCAAAAAAACAGTGAGACCTTATTTGAAAAATAACTAAAGCAAAAAAGGGTTGGGGGCATGGCTCAAGTGTTAGAGTGCCTATCTAGCAAGCCTAAGGTTTTTAGTTAAAACCCCAGTACTGCTAAAAAAAAAAAAAAATTAACAGTATAGATACCAAAGACATTTAGAGATATCATATATTTTTTGTGAGTCCGTATCACTTCTAATGGAGGCTTCCTCCCCCTCCTCTTTTTATTTATTTTTTTGGTGGTACAGGGCCTCATGCTTGCTAGGCAGGCACTCTACCACTTGAGCCACTCTGCCACCCCACCTTTTCCCCTTTTATGGTAAGTCTGACTAACCCTTGTAGTTCTGGTGGGGCTACACATCACCCAACCCAGATTAACCAGACAGCTTCCCAGCACTCTGGTCAGATAAATAGAAGTTTATACTTGGTAAAGACCCTAATACTATTTATATGTAATTAAAATGCAAACACAATAGATAAGGAATATTTCATGGTATTATTCTTTAATTAAAATGGTCTAGTTGTGTGGTTGAGTCTTTTACAGAATCCAAAAATAACATGCAAAAAACATACAAAGGAAATATTAAGGACATTTTACAGATTTGGCTAATCACTAACGACTGAGGATTTTGGTTTGTGTTGAATTAAATGGGAGGATGCCTTTGTGTCTGAGAAGGTGGAAAACACAACTCTCCAATCTTCTCCAGGTTTTAACAGTGATGAAGAAAGCTTATTCTGGGTCAAAAGAAAAATAACTTCCCAAAGAATGAATACCAGAGACAGCCCCCCCTCAAAAAAAAATGGTGAGTGGAGACAAGAGATCTGTATCTATCAGAAAGCTGTACAATGATGGGCTTCAAAGGACTCTGAAGGAGGTATGACTTATAACTTTATAACATGTGCTCCCAACAGTAGAAGACATGGAAGTCTTCTGTTTGGTTTTTGAGACAGTGTCTCACTAAATAGCCCAGGTTGACCTCTAACTCAGGATCCTACTGCTTCAGCCTCCTGGGTGCTGGTATTACAGGCCAGGTGCCAACATGCCCAGTTCACAGAAATCTTATGAGACAAATGCTGCACTAGTTTTTCAGATGGTGATTTCCAGGAAAGGAGCTATGCAAGGCAGCCACTCACCTGAGTAATTATACGTTCTCCATCCTTATAGATCTTTTCTCCAATCACATCCACAATCTTCATTCGTTCTGACACCTAAACAATGGACACACTTACAAATTGTAAGGAAAAGACCTTAACTGAAAGTCATAATAGCTATACAACACAGAAACAGGTTAGAATAATATGACTTGAAAACCTAGTAACAGAATAGTTTTAACAGCTTTTCCTAATCCCCATAACAGACTTTTATACAGACTTTACCTCTAGTGATTTAAGTAGTGGCACAGACTCAATAAATGATTCAAACATCCTCCTCTTCTTTGCATTGTTTTTCACTATGATTCTTCTAAAAGTCACCCGGTCCTACAAAAAAGAAAATGAACATTCTAGTATATGTCTATGTAAGAAAACACCTATAGTTTAATTAACTGAGCCACTGCAAATATTAGAGGACTATGGGAGTTACTATATCAACTGAGTATTTAATGAATACTCCAATTTCAGAGTAATCACTAGAAGAACAAAACTAGACAGAAGTCCCATATGCTGTAGTTTGCTGTCTAATGCTAAATGAGGCCACCAATAGGCCACAAAAGAACACAGTATAACAAATTCCCATTAAATATTTATTAGCTGATAGTTATTATTCAATACCAAAAGATACCCTTCCACAAAAGAAGTAAGACAATCAGATGGTTCTTGCCCTCAGGGACTTTGCAAACGTGGAACAGTGGTATACACCTGTAATCTCAGCACTCAGGAGCCTGCAGTAGGAAGATACAGAGTTTGAGGCCAGCTTGGGCTACATAGCAAGACGCTGTCTCAAACAAAGCCCAAGTTAAACCAAACCAAAACACAAAAAGTCTACAGTTCAACATATTTGAAATGTGCTAGGTGAAACTACAGATGATAAGTACTACAAGAATTTCTAGGTGCAAGGCCAGCACCTAGAAAAAAGGGCTAGGTTAATCGTAGAGTACTTGCCTAGCAAGTGTTGAGTCCCTGGTTCAAACACCAGTATGGAAAAAAATTTTTTTAAGTCTTAAAAAATATTTCCAGGTGGGGGCTGGGAGTACAGCTCACTTAATAGAGTACACCTGCTAGCAAGTGCAAGGTCCTGAGTTCAAACCTTAGCACTGGCCACAAAAAAGAAAAAATATTTCCAGATGGGACAGAGATCACAATAGGCAGGAGGGAATCAAAGATAATGTTATAGTAAAAATGTGAACTTGTTTGTGCCTGAAGTAGAGGTAGAATTTAAACTAATGAAGGAATAATACAGGATAGAGGATGGAAGGTAGGCATTTGAAAAGTACCACCATCTCAGCAAGTAATAGATTCTGTTCAGGAGAACCAGAACCATAACCAGAACCATAGCTAGATACCTCTCAGATATAGGTACACATGAGGAGAGGGACATGAAGCCAGGAGAATGTTAACTGCTAAGTCTTAGGCTTTTATATGGGTAAGCAGTTATTTGTACCTAAGTTAATAGATCTTTTCTTCTACCTCTGGCTGTCAGTAATGGAAAGATTTTTTTTTTCAAAGTACAGTAATGACATCCTAAGGCTGACATAATGAAAAACAGTAGTTGTAGGATAGAGCATGTTTAGCTGTAGCTATTTTAGTTAGCATTCTTGATGATGGGGCAGGAGTAGGGTGAAGAAATCACACAGAAGACAGCTAGGTTGAATGGTCTAAATGGGTTTCACTGCCCCATATTCCATTAGCTACAGATTTTCCAGGCCCTATCCTATGCCATGTTTCATCTGCCTAATGAGAGAAGTCACTTACACTTCTAGAGTGGGAGATGATGGACTCCTATTCTCCCTTCCTAAATTGCTCTATAAATCATATCTGCTGACATTTTACATAGGTTCTGCTCCATTTTCTTCACCTGTTTGAAAAGGGTCATTCAATCTCTACTCTAATGTTATCATCTACCACTGCCTTTCTATGAAGATCAAGGTTAAGGATATATCATTAAAAATGTTACTTTTATACTTTGGAAAATTATGCCATATCTTTTTAATTAACTTTCTGTATTTTTCTGGGCTGATGTAGGCTAAGAGTATTGTGGAAAGAGAACAATTTATTTAGGTTCCAAGCCCTTCTAATGCATGCTTCCACTCTCCCTAGAACTTTGGTTTTATGCTATGCAAGCCATTTTCTGTGGCTCTGGAGGGAAAAAAAGGTCTGACACACCAACCCAACCAACCCAACCTTTAAGGATCTTCCAGCAGTAAAGAAAAACTCCCATAGGCAGAAAGTACTCAGAAACAAAGCAAATAGCCCAAGAGCTGTTTCCCTTTCCTGTGACTGCAGAGTTCCCCAGAAAAGTTTCTATTGACTTTCACTCAAGCAAGTAGACACTGAGTGTAATGGCCATGGTGGCAGCTGCTACCATCAAAACAGGAATATAGGATCTGACTTGCAAAACTCAGGGATAATACCATGTCCTCCCTGCTTCAGCCTCAGCAGGCATTTTTGAAGGTCTTGCAAAATATAAGAAAGAAATCTGGCTGGAAAGAATCTTTTGGGAATTGCATTCCTGGAGATAGTATTGGGAACCTCTGGAAAAACTTGAGCTTGTTAATGAAGCAGGAGAAAGGAAAAGGCCCAAAGGGCATGGGTCATCAATCTCTCTTAAGGCAGCAGAGAGAGGAAGACTCAGGAAGAGAGAAAGGGTGAGTAGCATCATGACAATGAAGAGTTGGGTGCTACTATTCTCTGAGCACCCACCTGTGCCAGGCTCTGAAGAAGTCACTTCTCTATGCACATCTATTTAATTCTCATACCCCAGTCACAAAGTGGGCAATTTCACTGTCCATAGTTATCTTTTAAAAATTTCCATTGATTGCTGGGCACCGTGACTCACACCTGTAATCCTAGTTACTTGGGAGGTGGAGATCAGGAGGACTGTGGTTTGAAGTCAGCCTAGGCAAAGTAGCCAAGACCCCACCTCAACCAATAAAAAGTGGGGTACTGGTGGTGTGCATGTCATCTCAGCATCTTGGGAAGTGTAAATAGGAGGATCTTAGTCCAGGCTAGTCAGTTTTTTGAAAAATAACTAAAGCAAAAATGACTGGGAACATGGCTCCAGTGGTGGAGCATCTGCCTAGCAAGTGTGAAGTCCTGAGTTCAAACTCTAGTACAGCAGAAAAAAAAATAATTTCCCATTATGTTCTACTTAAAAGATTATTTAAGAATATGTTATTTAATTTCCAAATGTTTGAAGATTTTAATTATCTATCATTGATTTCTAGTTTCATTCCATTGTGGTTAGAGAACATACTCTGATTTCAATTCTCTTAAATTTCTTTTTTTTTTTTTTGGCAACACTGGGGTTTGAACTCAGGGTCTCACACCTATTTGGCAGGCACTCTACCAGGTCTAAATTTCTTAAATTTTATTTATTACTATTTTTTGGGGGGGGTGGGTCTGGAGTCTGAACTCAAGGCTTTATACTTGCAAAGCCAGCACTCCCCTACTGCTTGAGCCACACCTCCAGTCCATTTTGCTCTGATTATTTTGGTGATGGGGTCTCAGGAACTGTTTACCCAGACTGGCCTCAAATTGTGATCGTCCTGATCTCAGCCTCCCAAGTAGCTAGGATTACAGGCATGAGCCACCAGTGCCTGGCTTGTTAAGTTTTATTTTATATCCCAGGATATGGTCTATTTTGGTGAACTTTCCATGCACTTGAAAAGAATATGACCAGAGGCATGGTTCAAGCGGAAGAGCGCCTGCTTTACAAGCATGAAACCCCAAGTTCAAACTCTAGGTCCACCAAAAAACACACATATACACACAAGGTCTGCCAAAAAATAAATAAATACACACGCACACACACACATACACATATGGCTCACAACAGTATGGAGATCTTTTCTATGTAACCAAATTAAATAATCTTACAAGGAAAGGATGAAGGAGGCTGAATATAGTGGAACTATTATGTGCTCATGTATGAAATTGGAAAAATGAGACATTTTGAAACTATTCCAGGAATGAGGGAGGGTTAAAGGAGAATGATGGAGGGGGTGAATTCAACTATGATATATTCTAAGAACTTTTATAAATGTCACAATGTATCCCTAGTACAATAATATAATAAATTTTTAAATTTAAATAGAAAATATATACTGTTATGTACAAACTTTCTATAAATTTCAATTAGATCCTGTTGACTGATGGCATTAAGTTCTATATCCTTGCTGATTTTCTTTTTCTGTCTAGTAGTCCTATCGATTCTTTTTTTTTTTTTTTTTTAATTTTATTATTCATATGTGCATACAAGGCTTGGGTCATTTCTCCCCCCCTGCCCCCACCCCCTCCCTTACCACCCACTCAGTGCTATCGATTCTTGAGAGATGGGTGTTAAAGTCTGTATCATCTATAATTGTAGATTTGTCTATTTCAGTTTACCTATTGTGAAGCTCTATTGTTTGATATATACACATTGAAGGTTGCTATGTCTTCTTGGTAGATTGAACCTTTCATTATCATGTAATGTTCTTCTTTGTTCTGGTAATTTTCTTTGCCCTGCAATCTACTCTCTCATATTAATAAAATTACTCCTGCTTTTTTTGGTGGTACTGGGGTTTGAACTCAGGAACTTATGCTTGCTAGGCAGGCTCTCTACCACTTGAACCATGCCACCAAGTCCTTTTTTTGCTTTATTTTTTTGAATAGGGTCTTGCTTTTATGCCTAGACCACCTGGACTTCCTATATATGCTTCATTCACTTTTGGGGGTTGTTTTTGGTAGTACTGGGGTTTGAACTCAGTCAGGGTCTCTTGCTTTCTAGGTAGGTGCTCTACCACTTGAGCTGCTTCACCAGCCCCATGCTTCACTTGCAGCTGGGATCACAGGCATGCACCACCATTCTCAGTTTTTTATTGGTTGAGATGGGGGTCTCACTCACTTTTTGCCTGGGCTGGCCTTGAACCATCATCCTCCTGAACTCTGTCTCCTAAGTAATTAGGATTACAGATGTGGGCCACCACATCTGGATCCTGCTTTCTCTTGATTGAAGTCTCATGATATTATCTATTTCCATCCTTTTACTTTCAGCTTACTTATGTTATGTATATTTGAGTGAGTTTCTTAAAGATAGCATATAGTTAAAATAGTTAAACAACTTATATTAATTATTCATATTTTAGGGCCTTAGTGTACCATTTTATGTTTTCACTTTTCTTTTTGGTGGGACTGGGGTTTGAACTCCAGACTTTATGCTTACAAAGCAGGTGCTCTACCACTTGAGTCATACTACAGCCCTCATTTTATGTTTTCAGATCCATGTTTTTCTCTTTTTTTTTTTGTGATACTGGGGATTTAACTCAGGGCCTCGTGTTTGCTAGGCAGGCGCTCTACCAGTTAAGCCATGCCCCTAGCCCTTTTTGTATTGGTCATTTCTGTTGGGTCTTACTTTGTGGTGGAGCAGGCCTAGACTACAAATCCTTATATTCATGCTTTCCCGCATAGCACAGACCAGTGTGCCCTGCCATTGCTGAGATGGGGTCTTGAGAACTTTTTGCCTGGTCTGGCCTTGAACTGTGATCCTTCTAATCTCTGTCTTATGAGAAGCTAGGATTCGCTATTCCCTTCTCCCTCTCCCTCTATTTTTTTGGTGGTACTGGGATTTGAACTTAGGGCTTTATGCTTGCTAGGCAAGTATTCTACCACTTGAGCCGCTCTGCCAGCCCTATTTTATATTGGGTAGTTTTGAGATAAGGTCTCACAGACTATTTTCCCAGACTGGCTTTGAACTGCGATCCTCCTGATCTCTGCCTCCTGAATAGCTAGGATTATAGGCATGAGCCATCGGTGCCTGGCCTCCTCTCTTTTTTTAAATCCTACTTTACCTTTTCTACTTTCCTGTGGGTTATCTGAACAGTTTTTAGAATCCTATCTGATGAACAGAGCTTTCAAGTACATCTCTTTGTACAGATTGGTTTTGTTTGTTTTGAGATGGGATCTCCCTACATTGCCCAGGCTTCCTTGAACTCTTGAGCTCAAGAGATACCTCAACTTCCTGAGTAGTTGGGACTAAGGGATGTGGTATTTCACTGAGCTGTAATTTTTTTTAGCATTTTCTCTGTTTATATTACATAAGTAATTTATCACAGTGTTCTAGTACCAAAAAGTTACTAGCTTGATAAAGTACAGAAGCTTTACTTCCATTTAGGTTTCTTTACTCTCTCCCGTTATAGTATAATAGTCTTAAGAATTTCTTCTACACTGAGAACCAAATCAGTTAATGTCATAATTCTTTAACGTAATTTAACATAACACACTTAACATAATCTTAAAAACTCAAAAAAGGTCTTTTATACTTACCAATATTTATACTCTTTCTGTTCTTTCTTCATTCCTGATGTTCTAAAACTTCCTTATTTCATCAATTCCTTTCTGTTTGAAGAACTAACTTAGCTATGCGCTTTTACAGTAGGCCTGCTGGTGACAAAGTCTCTTAGTTCTCCTTCCTATGAGAATGTCCTCATTCCTGAGGGACATTCCTACTAGGTACAAAATTCTGGCTGGCAGCTTCTTTCCTTCAGCACTTAAAAAATGGTGTGCCACTTCTGGCTTCCATGAATGGGAAATCCTTGCCATTCAAGCTGTTGTTCCTCTATATGTCATGCATTGTTTCTCTATTTCAAGATATTTTTCTGTCTTTAGTTTTCTAAAGTTTGATTATGATGTGTCTTGGCATGGATTTCTTTGTGTTTGTCCTGTTTTATGTTTACTCAATTTTTTTAAATCTGTACGTTTATATCTTTTACCAAATTTGGGAAAATTTGAGTCATCATTTCTTCAATTAATGTTTTATGTTCACACTTTTTCTCCTCTCTCTGCAACTCTGTTGATAGAAATGTATCATCATCAACCTTTCGTTTTTGTGTCAAAGGCCTAGTCATTTCATTTCAATTTGTATTCTCTCTGTTGTTTAGACTGGGTAGTTTCTATTGGCCACTAGTTCTTTCCTCTGTCATATTCATTCTGCTATTGATCCCATCAAATGAGTTTTTTATTTTGGTTGTCATATTTTCTAGTTGCTAAATTTCCAATTTGCTCTTCTTTGTATCTACTGAGACCTTTTTTTTTTTTATTTCAAGTGTATAATTGCTTGTTGGAGCATTTTTATGATGGAGCCTTACAATCCTTGTCAACTAACTCTAACACTGATGTCATCTTGGTATTGGCATCTGTTGTCTTTTCTCATTCAAAGTGAATTTCCTTGTTCTTGGTGTAACAAATGATCTTCAAGTGTATCTTGGATATTTTGGATATGATGTTGAGAAACTCCTTTTGTACACTAACACTGTTTGGGTATAACATGCACGTACAGTAGGGTACATGTTCAGCACCCCTCTGGGACCAACTGATAATACCCTGGTAGGGAAGGAGAGTGCTAACTAGTAACACCACGTATCACTTTGCTTTGCCTCTTTGATGCTGGTTAATACTGGAAGTCCAGTTTCCTGCTTGGCCCAGTGACACTGTGAGGAGGTACAATGTTTTTCTTTTTCTTCTCTTGTTTTTTTTGAGATGGGGTCTCACTGCATAGCCCATGTTGGCCTCAAACTTGCAAACTTTCTCCTCTGCCTCACAGTGCTGGGATTACAGATGTGCAGTACCACATCAAGTTCTATAATAAGTTTTTCTTTGATATTTGACAGGAATAAGGCTAGTATTATAAAAAATGGTTTCTGTTCTGCTAGCTTCCCTTTTTTTTTGGTTCTTTGGCTAGAGGGAGCAAGCTTTTCTTGGGGCTGTTTTTGTAGGAACCTGTTGGCACATCTGGGTTGCAGGCTTTTCCATTAGCCTATCTGGGATATATAGGAAACAATAAGGAAACTCAGGGAATTGTCATACCCTTCCTCAAGTCTCAAGATTCTTAATGAGTCTGCCGCCTTCTTTCTACCTTTCAGGGTCTTCCTATGTTTGTTTGGTGTATTATGTCCAGTTTTTTCATTTTTAGAAGGAATAATAACAAGGAATGGCTGCTCCATCTTGGCCTGAACCAGTACCTGGTACCAATATATTTTAAAGTGAGTTTACTTCTTTCCACTATATATTATTCTGGCTTATTTACCTAATTTTTTTTTTTTTTTTTTTTGGGCAATACTGAGGTTTGAACTCAAGGCCTCATTCTTGTTACGCAGGCTCTCTACCATTTGAGCCATTCTGCCAGCCCTTTTTGTGTTGGGTATTTTGGAGACAGGATCTCTTGAACTATTTGCCCGGACTGGCTTTGAACCTCAATCCTCCTAATCTCTGTTTCCTGAGTAGCTAGAATTATAGGCAGCACCCAGTAGCAAGCTTAATTTAACATCAGTATGTCACAGGAAAATTCTCATTCATGTTTTTACAATGTGATTTCATTGAGAATATATGTTGTTAATTCTATGGTATACATTTAATTCTGCTTATAAGATAAACAGAAATAAACTACTACAGATGTCAACATTTTAAAAGTGAAATATGGAATGATTCAAGAGGATGCTTTTAAGGAAGAATTACAGATTTTGGATATATAACCTGATGATGATAGAAACAAGGTGGGTTCGCAGCAGGGATCACAGCAGTATCATGTCTACAACATTTTGAAAAAGTTCTCTAGAGTATGGTCATCAGTCTTCCTAGTAACCTATGCTATTAAATATTGCATGGACCAATGAACAAATAGATGGCTGAATGTAGAGACAAGTTGGTACTATGATCTCTAGAGATAGAAAATGCTACTGGGAGTGATTTCTAATACACTTATTTTTCTTTACTTTTTTGTGTGTGTATGTGTGGTACTGGGGTTTGAATTTACAGCCTCACACTTGCTAGGCAGACACTCTATCACTTAAGCCACTCCACCAGTCATTCACTTGTTTTTCTAAGTTGTTGCTGCTGCTTCTTTTTTTTTTTGGAGACCAGGCTGGCCTTAAACTCATGATCCTTCTACCTCAGCCTTCTGGGTGCTGGGGTAACAGGTATGCCCCACCATACCTGGTTTCTAGGCTGCTTCTTGTATAGAGAGTTATCTCCCTTCTCTAATCTTGTCTGATAAAAACAAACACAAGATAAAGTTAAGAGCTATATTTTACTACAAGGTCATAAGACCCAGTAATGCCTCTGTAACTTACAGTAAATGGTTTGATGATAAATCATTGGAGAAAATGGAAAAACACTGTTACATGAGACCTTTTACAGTATCTTTCAGATAACTGGCTATAAAGAATATTGTGAACCAATAGCCCAAGGTCAGAGACCCAGAAGTAAGGAGAACAGTGTGCCATGCAAGGGAAACCATTTCTCTCACTCACCAATCCCCAAAGGGAGCCTTCTGAGGTGGCAACAATGGTAGCAGCTCTCGGGGTATTGTACATCAGAGCTAGTTCTCCAAAACTGCCACGATTGTCATACTGACCAACAGATCGTGTTTGATTATCTTTTGTTACTAAAATGTCATAGGTTCCCCTAGAAGAAAGATAAGAAACAATTTAATTACTTCTGATAATTAAGAACTGGCTGGTATATATAAAATATCACAGCTGGTACATATAAAATATCACTCTTGAGGTGTGGCTCAAGAGGTTGAGTGCTTGTCTAGCAAGTGTAAAGCCCTGAGTTCAAACCATACTACTGCCAAAAAAATTTTTAAAAACCAAAAACTAAAAAATCAAAATAAAACAAAACCATCACAGGGGATTTCTAAAACAATTTTGTTGGTATATACAACCTAACAGACGTTTGAATTTTAACTTTGTATTCTGTGACCTTGCTAAACTCACTTACTAGTTCTAATAGTTCTTTTTTCTTTCTTTCTTTTCTTTTTTTCAGTACTGGAGTTTAAACTCAGGACCTCAGGCTTGTTAGGCAGATACTCTACCACTTAAGCCACATCCCCATTCCTTTTTGCTATAGTTACTTTTCAAATAAGGTCTGAGTTAATGCTCTGGCCAGCCTGGACTGCAATCCTCCTAATTTTTTTTGGATGGTACTGGGGTTTGAACTCAGGGCTTCATACTTCCAAAGCAGGCACTCTACTGTTTGAGTTACACCTCCAGTCCCCATTTATGCTCTCCAGGTAGCTGGGATGATAGATGTGCACCACCCAGCTTTTTGTTGGTTGAGATGGGGGTCTCACTAACTTTTTACTGTGGCTGGCCTTGAACTTTGATCCTCTTGATCTCTCCCTCATGAGTAGGTAAGGTTACAGGTATAAGGAGCTCATCAGTTTCTGGTAGCTTTTTTTGCAGCACTTTCAGAACTTTCTACATAGATTATGTCACCTGCAAAGGTTTATTCTTTTTTCAATCTATATGCCCTTTCTTCTCTTACTTTTACCTTATTACATTGGCTACGACTTCCAGTCCAATAGCAGCTGGATGTGGTGAGCAAAGACATCTCCATCTTTCTTGGTGGGGGGGTGAGGTAAGGTCTTCTTGTGTAGTGTAAGCTGGCCTAGAACTTGCTTTGTAGCCCAAGCTGGCCTTCTGTTGTGTTAAGATTATAGCTGTGTGCCACTATGCCTGGCAGGCTGATCATTTATCACAAAAAAGATATTGAATTTTTGGCATGTGCTCTGTTGCAGGTATTGAAATGATTGTATGTGTTTTCTTTCATAGCTCATTGAAAATAAGGGTATAACTGATTGAAATAAAGAAATAAACAATACAATCTTCTACCCATTGACTTTAATGATTGCTAGAGAAAAATATTCAGAACTGACAAATGGAGAAATGGGCACTTTCACCACACTACTGAGGTAAACATAAACTTTTAAAGTTTTTGTAAGATAATTAACAACATATAGCAAATACCTTAAAGAGACCCTTTGCCACAGCAATTCCATTTGTAATCATTCCAAAAGAGATAATCAAAGATACTGAAAAAGATTTAATTGCAGGCATACTTACCATGTAATATTTATAACAGCAAAAATTACAAATAATTTACTTTGCTAACAATAGGAGAATATGTCAAATACATATTTATATTATACAGTCATTAAAAATATTGATAGAATAATACCGTACCTCATGGCAACATACTTAAAATAGTATTTTATAAAGATTAGATCAATGTATGCCCCAATGTAAAAAATATGTAAATGTAACAAAGACTCCATTTTTTATATTTGGTTTTTGATAGTTCTCAAGCCCTATCACTCTACTTGACCTTGATCTGGGCATGCTGGCAAACAGATAAGAATGCCTGTGTGCTTCCTCTATGGGTGCTGATGGGGAGTTCAAATAACACAAATGCTAGCCTGTATGTAAGAATACCTGCACCCAGCATAAAATCCCAAATAAGTAACTTCTTCTTGCTAGGATGACAGTCTTGAGCCACTGTACTTAGCTTGGGGACATGTTTTTTTCACTGTGCTACCACTACATTAAATAATAATTATCTACATAAGAGACTGTCTCCCCAACCAGACAACAAGCTTTCTGAGGTAAAGAACACTTTTTTATTTGAACGATAGCTTTTACTTTCATTGCATACAAAGGATAACCCCTCGCATTTAAAGGTATAACATTTATTTCCTTTGTAGATGGGTATTTCAGTCTTTAAGCTATGGACACACGCAGGTAGATATTTATTTCCCAGACCACAAGTGCCTGTTGGGATCTCTATCTTGGTGAGGAGTACACAAAGGCGACTGCTGGAGATGGTGATATAACTTAAAAAATTATTCTTTTACTACTTAAAGTCTGTGTGTGTAGAAAGAATAAGCATAAGAGATAAAAGATAAAAAGTCTTTCTTGCTCATGCCTGTAATCCTATATTCTTGGGAAGCAGAGATCAGAAGGATCACTGTTTGAAGTCAGCCTGGGCAAATAGTTCACAAGACCCTATCTCTAAAATATCCACCACAAAAAGGGCTGGTGGAATGGCTCAAGTGTTAGTGCATCTGCCTAGCAAGCATGAGGCCTGGAGTTTAAACCCCAGTACGACCCAAAAAAAGGATACTTTTTCTGAGAACATTTTATCACCTTTAAAAGATTTCCTTTAATTATAATAAATAGTCACAAGTATCACAGGCCAAAAAGTTATCCATAGAGGACATTTTCTGTCCAAAAAACGAACAAGGGCTGGGTATGGTTGCTCATGTCTGTGATCCCACTTACTAGGGAGGTGGAGATAGTATGGATTGCAGTTTAAAAAGTTATTCAGACCCTGTCTCAACAAAGAAGCAGGGCATGGTGATGTACACCTAGCAGTACTGCAAAAAAAAGGCAAACATTAAGCTGGGGAACATGAGTTTATAAGGATGTTCTGTACTATTTGTACAAGTTTTCTGTAACCTTGGAATTACTTCAAAAGAAAAAAATTTTTACAAGGAATAACAAAGATATTGAGTGAAAAGTCATCTTATTACCTTACATTCTGGTGAAGGTGCCCCTTTTCAAGACTTAGAGGAAGTTAGAAGGAGCCCCCACCCATTCCAGGAGAACACTATCTATTGTATTAGACATATACTAAGACAATAAGGTGTAGTGGCTCCCAGTTACTCAGGAGGCAAAGGCAGAAGGATTGTGAATTCAAGGCCAGCCTTGAACTCAAAGTCACCATCTCAAAAATGAAAAAAACTGCTAGACATATGGCTGAAGAGGTAAAGCCACTTGCCTTGCAATGCAAAAAGCCTGAGTTCAAATTTCAGTACCACAAAACAAAAATAAAAACAAATAAACAAAAAACTCAAAAGAGTTCTCAGTTCATGCTACTTGGGAGGCTGAGATCAGGAGGAAAGTGATTCAAGGCCAGCCCAGGTAAACATTTTATAAGGCCCCACTTCCAAAATAACTAGAGCAAAATGACTGGAGGTGTGGCTCAAGTGGTAGACCACTTGCTTATTGCAAGGGTGAAGCCCTGAGTTCAAATCCCAATCCCATAAAAAGCACAAAAGGGCTAAGGCATGGCTCAAGTAGAATAGTGCTTGACTAGCAAGCATGATTCTCTGGGTTCAATCCCAAATAATTAAAAAGGAAAAAAAAAAAAAAAGAGGCTAAGATGCAGTAAATCAGGAAGGTCAAACCCAAACATTTCATTTCTCTCAATATGGCTTATATCTGAAACAAAGAAGAGGCTGAAGGTATGGAGGGCAGGGAAGTGTATGATAATATAGCATCACAAATACTCTTCAGGAAATCAATTCACTACAACACTGGCAAATAACTTATTTATAAAACAAATCCTGCATTCTTCATCTAACTATAAAAGAGATTTTCTACTACAAGAGGTAGTTTTCCAAATATGGGTTGCACTGAGGACTCAGACAGCAGTAGACAGAAAGGGGCAGACTCCTGCAAGGCTTTGGGAAACATCTTCACCTGGTGCTAAGGCTCTCTGGGCTGAAAACAGCATAGAGTAAAACATCTTCCCTGAATCATGAATCCAATTAAGTGTAGCCACACAGTTAAAATGCTCCATCTCTTACCTCTCTATGACATAAAAGTTGTCTCCATCATCTCCTTGGTCAATGACATGTTCATCAACTTTGACTACTCTTTCAAACATGGCATCGAGGACTTGAGAAAGCTGTTCCTGCAGGGTACACACAAAAAGAAAAAAATGGCTCTTACATTTGCTGAAAAACCACAATGGCCTTATTTATCTCTGTTTGTGGCTATATAATAGACATCCCTACACCAGACCATTCCTGATATTTAAGCAGACACCTAAGGACTGTCTGAAACAAATGCTTTTTTGGGAGTATCCAACTTTGCACCTCCAGGTATCTCAGCAGACAGCATACCTGCGAAGTCTCTTTTGTTTGTTTGTTTGAACCAGGATCTCACTATATAGCCCAATCTGGCTTCAAACTCACAATTTGCCTGCCTCAGCCTCCCAAGTTCTGGGCCCAATTTGCCAAATCTTTCCACTTCATCTGACAGATGGTTAATATCCAGAATACAAAAAAGGGCTGGTGAAGTGGCTCAAGTGGTAGAGCAACTGCCTAGCAAGCCCTGAGTTCAATACCACACACATACAAAAAAACATGCAGAATACATAAAGAAGTCAAAACCACACTGAGATTTCACCTCACCCCAGTTAAAATAGCTACTGTCCAAAAATAAAAGTAAACGCTAGGAAGGATGTGGAGAAAAAGGAATCCTATACAGTCGGTGGGAATGGAATGGAAATTAGTACAGCCACTATGGAAAACAGTATACGTTCCTCAAAACACTACAAATAGAACTATCACATGATCCAGTTATACCACTGCTGGGATTCATCCAAAGGAAATGAAGTCAGCAAACAAAATGATACCTACATACCCATGTTTATTATGATGTTATTCACAAAAGCCTAGGTGCTCATCAACAGATGAATGGATAAAGAAACTGTGATGCATACATGGTGGAATATTATTCAGCCATAGAGACAAATAAAATTAGGGCATTTTCAGTAAAATAGATGAAACCAGAGATCACAATATTAAGTGAAATAAGCCAGACTCAGTGAAATATTAAGTGATATAAACCAGACTCCACTTATGTTTTCTCTCATATATGGAAACATTTTTTAAAAAAACCTAAAAATAGAAGAGGGGCTATTAAGGAAGAGGAGGGGAACTGGGTGGGTGGGTGGGGGGGCAGAGAGAAAGGGAGGGTCAAAAGAGCATAAAAGAATCCAGGTACTGGTGGCTGAAATCAGGAGAATTGCCATTTGAGGCCAGTCTGGGCAAACAGTTCTTAAGACCCCATCTCCAAAATACCCACAGGGCAAAATGGATTGGAGGTGTGGCTCAAGAGGTAGAGTGCCTGCTTTGTAAGCAAGAAGCCCTGAGTTCAAACCTCAGTCCCTAAAACAAACAGTGGACATGATCAAAGCATAATATTTATGTATATGGAAACCTCACAATGAATGTATGGAATCATCACAATGAAATCCCCTATCATTAATGTAGGATATTTCAAAAACAAAATTAAGAAACCCCATCGCAGTGAAACTAATTTTTATAACTAATAGGCGTTAATAATCATAAAAAATGAAAATGCTTTCCACAATTTATGTGAAAATAGGTTATTTAAATCATTGTCACTATTCTCCCAGTTGCAACTATCACAATGACCATCACCTGCTCCAATGGATTTAGTATATCAGATATGAAGCATGTGCTGCCACCTTCTTGTAAGTATTGTCATTAACAGGATCATCAAATCTAAAGGGCTGTGATGGCCTTAGAGGTTGCCTCTGATAGCTCAGCACATCACTAACCTCTCTGAGCTTTAGTTACTTCATTAACAAAAAAGGCATAGTTTCTACCTCATCAATTTTTATGACTAAAGGTGAAAAATCTAAGTACTTACCACATAACAGGTACTTAGTAAATGTGATCTATTATCAGATAATACTGCTTCATTTATACATAACATGTATAATTACTTACCAATATTACATGCCATAACCAGTAGGTAACTATGCTGATAAATGTAATGAAAACAAAGCAATACTATTAAATTTTAATCAAACAGTAGTCTCAATTGAGCCATATAAGTAAGATGGGTCTTCTAGGGAAAACTTCTGCCACAAACCAGTGTTTCATACAACCAGCATTTCCTTAAGCTCATTGGTCTTACTCAGACTAACAAATGCTGAGTAAAGTTTGGCTATTCCTATAAACTAGATAGCTACCAGATTAGTTTACAGATAAATCGTAAGTTCATGTCTGACCAGCCAGATTCCCATGAACGGTTCTAGAGATGTCTTCAGAAATCGTTCATAGGGGCTGGGTAGTAGTGAATTCTAATCCCAACCCTTCTGTCTCTGTACATTTTGGGATTCCCAGCAATAGGCCCAGCACCTCAGTCATTCATGTGGCTTTAGTGTATGACCTTCAAAGCAGAGAAGAAACAGAAACTCTGAAGATTCCTTATTACTACGCACAAAATATTTATGTTTCCCCTAAATTCATATGTAAGGAATGAATTCCCAGTGTGATACTATTAGGAGGTAGGGTCTTTGGGAAGTGATTAGATCATGAGTGGAGCCCTCATAAATGGGACTAATGTCCTTATAAAAGAGATCCTAGAGTGATCCCTTCTTTCTTCCTCCTGTCACATGAAGACACAGAAAGAAAATGTACATATAATACAACCAGGCAGTAGACCTCTGCACCAGACAAAAATCTGCTGGCACCTTTATTTAGACTTCTCAAACTACAACACTATGAGAAATAAATTTTTGTTTGTAAGCCATCCAATTTATGGTATATTGTTATAGTAGCCTGACAACTACCCTTAGAAGGTAGCCCTTGCTATCTCCTTCTCTACCAAGAGAAGGAGGACAACCCCTATCAGTCCTACATCAAGCACTACAGACACACATGATTTGCAAAAGCACCCTGTGTCTAAGGTCTTCACTGAGAAGCAGTAATAAAACCTGAGATATGAAAAGCAATCGTACACTTCCAGTGGGTCAACTGCTACTAGTGAAGAGAACTACATAGCAGTATCTTTGGAAAAATCAATCCCTTTGTAGCATAAATTCAGACCCTCCAAACTAAGCCAGGGTCATGCAAACCTGAGCAATTCCTGGCAGCAAAACTAAACTGTGTGGTTGTCAAATTACTGGTATCATCTCCAAGGAAGTGCAAAGTAGATCAAAAATATACTAAAAGGCATGTGAAAATTTGCATTTTTATTACAGCAGTCAAAACAAAAATATTTGTAAAGTAAAATGAATCTAAGTTCTCATGCCTCAAATAACTGTGGCTAAAAATTATTTAAGAGACAGATAAGAAAAAAGCTAAAAGACCAGTAAAACAAAAATATTTTTTAAAACAAATGTTACCTGATCAAGATTTTTGAAAAGGAGAATATCTTTGCAAGCTTCCTGAAGTCTGCATCTCTGTTCATCAGTTTTAGGATGAATCACCTGTCAATCCAAATAAAGCCAGAGAAATTTATGTATGCCATTAAAAAATCACCCACTAAAACTACTATTTTTTTCTACTAAAAAATGGGAGAAATTAAGAGCATGTTTTTTTTTTTCCTATTTATAAATGATGTCATTTAATGTATAAGGAGCATGTTTTCTATAGCTTTAATTATACACAAATCCCAATCAGTATGCTGAATGTGAAGAGGCAATGTGACACAGGGGTGAAAAACACCACCCTGGAACCACCTGCTGGCTGTGTGGCTGGTAGCAAACCAGCAATTCCTGGGAGCTTCAAAATCCTTATCTATAAAGCAGAGAGGTATAAAATGTTCATTCAACAAATATTGACACCTACTCAGTGACAAGTACTATCATAGTTCTGAGGACACAGTAATGAATGCATAGATGAAAACACCTGCTTTTACTTTGATTGAGTGCATAAAGTAAGTTAAAGACTGGTAAGAGTAAGAAGAAAAATAAAGTAGGCAAGGGAGATAAGAATTGCGTGTGCCTTTGTGGCCAGGTGAGGTCCCACTCAGAAGATGACAACTGTGTTAAGATCTCAAGGAAGTGAGTACACCTGAGAGAATGAGCCATATAGCTATCTCTGTGGGAAGAGCAAGTGAAAACAAGGCTTAATGAAGAGAGAGAGTGAAGAGCAAACTTGAAAAATAACTAAGAGGCAGATGTGACTGATTCAGGGTAAGAGGGAGAAATCAGAATATTGGGCTAGCGGGAAGAGGGATCCCCAAATTACAGAAGGTATAGAAGAACTGAACTTTCTTCTAGCAACTTGGAGGCGATTTGAGGAAGTGATCTGACTAATATTTTTAAAGTATCACACTGGCTGCTAAGTGAAGACAGCCTGGAAGAAGGCAAGAGTGGAAGCCAGGAGACTATAGTGACTGTCTCAATGCCAGATGGGGGTGTTCTGCAACAGGGTGGTAGCCATGGAGGTGCTGAGAAGTTCAGAATTCTGGACATACTTTGAAAGTAGAGCCCACTGGATTTCTTGGGAAACTAAATGTGGGTATGAAAAAATGAAAGAGTTGAGGGTGACCCTAATGTTTTGGGCCCAAGCAACTGAATGATGGAACTGCCATGAATTAAGCTGTGGATGAATATGACTGGAAAATAGTATTTAAAAGGAAATAGCCAGGAGTTCACATTAAGCTATCTATTGACATATAAGTAAAGATGGTAAGTAAACAATGGCTATACAAGCTAAAGTTGAAACATCAATAACTTATTAGCAGCAGTAGTAGTAGTATTTGCAAATTAGTTGTCATAAGGATTAAATAATATGTCATGTTTTAAAACAGTACCCTGCATTCATTTCACAGGTGCTCCAAAACTATTATTACTATTAGTATAATGTTTGTTGAACTAAAAAGAAATAATTACTGCCTAACATTGGTATTGTAATTGACTTATCAAGCTCCCTCTTAAGTATTAACTTCACCCTGAAAAAAAATCACATCATTTAATATGACTAGAAATAAATGTTAAGTATTTCAAACTTGTGATATTAACTTAGAGAAAAATGTTTTAAATTTTCAAAGTCATTAAGAATTTTACAACATCCAGAATTTTTTAAAAAATTAAATCTATATGTCTCTTACATTCACATGATAGCATTTTATTGTTAGAGTACTTCAGAAATTCTTCAGAGTTAACTCTGTGTGTGTGTGTGTGTGTGTGTGTGTGTGTATTTATTTGTATGTATTTATTTATGGTACTGGTGTTTGAACGCAGGGTCTTGAGCTTGCTAGGCCGTTATTCTAGCACTTGAGTCACTTCCCTCAGCTTAGGTTACTCACTTTAAGGTATACATGATAGATAACTAAAATATCTTTTATAAAGATTTCCACAGAGAGGAAAAAAATGTCTTTTATAATATTAATATTTTAGAAATTGATTCATATCTGCTTTTATAAAATAATTTATGCTAACTTCACAAAAGTTTAAAAACCTGAGCTTAAAAAAAAAAAATCCAAGCTGGGCACTGGTGGCTCACACCTGTAATCCTAGCTACTTGGAAGGCACAGACTGGGAGGATCAAGGTTTGAGGCCAGCCCAGGCAAATTGTGAGATGCCCATCTCCGAAATAACCACAGAAAAATGGACTGGAGGGGTGGCTCAAGTCGTAGAGTGCCTGCTTTGTAAGTGCAAAGCCCTGACCTGAGTTCAAACCCCTGTCCCATCAAAAAAAAAAAAAAAGCATCCAAAAACCCATGATCCTACCATAGTCATTGTTGGTATATAGAGTATATCCATCTAGATACAATTCTCTGTACATACATACAAATAAATACATGGGTAAATGCATTAAATTTTTTATTTTACAAAATGTTCTATACATGATGTATAAAGACTAAAAGCACTTTATACATATTCTATGCCATTAAATTCTGCACTATATAATCATTTTCAATGGCTATCCACTCTCTTGATTTCAATATAATGTAATTTAGCTCCTGGCAATCCCTCATTTAGGGTCATTTAAGGTTGTTTCCATGTTTAACTATTACAACACTACAATGATTTCCATTGTACATCCTTAGAAAGAATCCAACTGTTCATCAGGGAAAAATTCTCCTTTAGGTAACTGCTGAGTTAGTTGGCTTGCCTATGTTTAAGGTTTATGCAGCTATAGCTAGCTACTCTTTCTCACCATACCCTCAACCAGTGCTACTTTCAATCTGTTAGATTAAAAAAAAAAATTCATCTCACTGAGGTTTTAATTTGTATTTATTTTAATTATCAGTATGATTATTTTTGGTTATGTGGAGGAAAGGAGTCAGTGTGAGGAAATACAACAATTCTAAGTAACACTTTTTTTTTAATTCTTACCCTTGGATCAGTATCTTCCTCTTCTTCATCAGGGTTATAGGCCTCTGCACAGACTAAAATTAGAGAAAAAAACAGAAAGAAAAATTAATTTAACAGAGTGATTTTAGGAAAAATAGAAAGTGAACATAATTTCCTTTTATTCACTATTTTCTGAAGTTGTAATAAATTTTTTTTTGAGATAGGGTCTCCCTAGATACTCCAGGCTGGCCTCTAGCTCATGATCCTCCTGCTTCTGCCTTCTGAGTGCTAGGATTACAGGCATGTACCACCACAGTTGGCTTGAAAGTTGTGAAGATCTTTTTAAATTCCTTTTGTCAGTTAATAAATATTAAGTGCCTACTAGTTAGTGTCAGGCATTCTCTTAGGTACTGAAAACCCAAATCCTTAAAGATTTGTGATCCCAAGCTAGGGGTATGTCTCATCAAACCCCAGTACAGGAAAAAAAAATTGGTGATACCAAATATGAGACAATGAAATTTATCTATCACCTACTAAGTTCTATCGTACAAAAAACATTATCATGTCTCTGCTGAGTTTGAAGCAGGGGTGAAAATTCATACAGTACACAAAAGTTATGGGGGTAATTACCAAAAGAATCAATTAAAACAGTTCTAAGTCATTACATGCCTATATATCTTAAACAAGAATTAACTTTTTTTTTTTTGGTAGTACTTGGTATTGAACTCAGGGCCTAATATTTGTTAGGCAAACACTCCATGTCTATAGCTCAACTTTTTTTTCTTCTTACTATGTTGCTCAGGCTGGCCCCTAATTCCTGGGTTGAAGCAATTCCTCTACCCAAGCCTCCTGAGTAGCTGGGACTGAGTAACTGCCTCTGAGTAGCTAAGAATTTTAAAACAAAATAAACATCATGTGTTAAGCTCTGTTCTAGGTACAACATTATGTAAACTTAAAGCCAAAAAAAGAAGGGCTAGGTAAGGAGATAAACACTTGTAATCTCAGTACTTAGGAGTCAGAGACAGGATTGTGAGTTCAAGGCCTGTCTGGGCTATGTAGCAAGACCCTGTCTCAAAAGCAAAATAGTGCATTTTAAAAAATATTTCACTTCAGGAGATAAATGAATGAGTATTACACTTTGTCTACTTTGTTTATGTATGAAAATTTTCATTAAAAAGCTTAAAAAATTAAACCTTCAGTTGGGGGCCAGTGACTCGTGCCTGTAATTCTAGTTACAGGCACTCTAGATATCTAGAGGATAGTGGTTCGAGGTCAACTCAGGCAAAAAGTTAGCAAAACTACCATCTCAACCAACAGTTAGGCTTGGCAGTATGCTTTTGTCATCCCAAGCTATGCAAGGACCCTAACATTGACAGGATCACAGTTCTAGCAGTGCAGGCAAAAAAAAAAAAAAAAAAAAAGTTGGTTGCAGACCTCAACAGAAAAAAAGCTGGGCATGGTGGTGCACACCTATCATGTCAGCGACATCAGGAATTATAAAATAGGACATAGGCCAGGCCAGCTTGGGCATAAAGCAAGACCTCCAAAATAACCAGAGTAAAAAGGGATGGAGGAGTGGCTCAAGTGGTAGAGTGCCTGCCTTCAAGTTCAAAGCCCTGATTCAAACATGATAGTCCCAAAACAAACAAACAAACCTTCAATGATGAGATGATACGACTTTACTGATAATAATACTTAATCTTGGCTAACCTATTTCTAGGCTTGCTTTTCCTCAAATTTTGGAGGACAGTATTTTGGCAACCTAGCTCATCTTTTATATTTTTAGATATTAATATAACTCAAGGCAGCAAATGTTCATAACAGTCTTAAAGTCTTTGAAATAGTACTATAATTTAAGCAAATATAGTTGGGTCTGGGGGAGTATCTCAGTGGTAGCAAGCATGCCTGAGTTTGATATCCAGCATCACAAAAGGCAAAAAAAAAAAAAAAGTATTTTCATTAAAGTTATAAATATGATGCAGAGCATGGTGATACACACCTGTAATCCCAGCACTTGGGAGGCTGAGGCAGGAGGATCATGTGTTTGAGCCCAACCTGAGCTACACAAGGGAGACCCTGTCCCCCCCCAAAAAATTAAGCTGGGCATGGTGGCTCTTGCCTATAATCCCAGCTATTTAGGAGGCAGAGATCAGGAATATCAAGGTTCAAGGCCTGTCAGGGCAAAAATGCAAGACCTATCCCAAACATAACTGAAGCAAAAGTGCTGGGGAGATGGCTCAAGTACAAGGCCCTGAATTCAAACCCCAGGACTGCCAAAAAAAGTTTAATATATTTTGGGCTAGTGGTTCATGTCTATAATCCCAGCACTTGGGAGCCTGAAGTAGGAGGATTATGAGCTCAAGGCCAGCCACCTAGTGAGACCCTGTCTCACTAATTAATGAATGTTTCTATTTATGGAAAGACATTATGTTTCGGTTTTTCAAAAATGGTTTGGAGATGGGGGTTGTGGCTTAAGTGGTAGTGTTCCTACCTAACAAGCACAGCTCCCTGAGTTCAAACCCAAATACCGCAAAAAATAAATTGTTTTGAATTTACTCCACTTTTCTCTTTTTTTTTTTTGTGGTACTGGGGTTTGAGCTCAGGGTCTACACCTTGAGCCACTCCACCAACCCTTTTCTGTGCTGGGTATTTTCAAGATAGGGGCTCATGAACTATTTGCCTAAGGCTGGTTTTGAACTGTGAGCCTCCTGATCTCTGCCTCTTAAGTAGCTAGGATTATAGGCGTGAGCCACCAGTGCCTGGCTAAATAGAACTGAGCTCCAGACCAACCTGGGCTACAAAGAGAGACCCCATTTAACAACAACGACAAAAAGTTCAAAAACCAAACTGTGTGTCATGACTTATTGAAAATGAAGGTTAAACAAGCAGCACAGCTGAATGTGGAATTTATTTTGCTATAGTTCTCCAGCAGATGTCACTAGTCAGCAAGATGATACTGTACAAATGACAACAGATTATCCAACACAATTTCTTCCAAATTTTAATTGGTGCTTCCTTCATCTAAAAATGTGAATTACTGAAATTTACTTGTAAAGGAAACTTATTTCTACAAGGAAATGAGCACAGACCTTGGTCACAGGCCTGAGACCCTGTGCTGCTCTACCAACACAACACGAATAGTTGACACAGCCTGAGTGTATTTATTAGTCAGCTACGGGTGCCAAAAGAAAATGCCACAGATAGGGTGGCTTGGCTTAAACAAGTTTAACAAATAAGTTTATTTTCTTATAGTTTATGGGACCAGAAACCCAATATTAAGGTATTAGCAGGTCTGGGTTCTTCTGAGGCCTCCTTAGCTAGTAAAAAGCTGCCCTCTGTGTTATCACATAATGTGTGTGCTCTCTTGGTGTCTCTTCCTCTTCTTAGTAAGACAACAGTCTTACTGGATTAGGACTCCATCCTTATGACCTCATTTAACCTTAATCACCTCTGTAAAGATTGTATCTTCAAAAACAAACAAACAATCAAAAAAAGATTCTATCTTCAAATATAATCACACCGGTTTGGCTTCAATATATGGAGTTGGTGAAGAGGCATAATTCATCCCATAACACTGGACTTCTAAATTGTTTTAAGCAATACATAGTAATATTTCATCTTAAAATAGTTACAGGTGTAGCTGGATGCGGTGGCATGTATCTGTAACACCTACACTTGGGAAGTGGAAGCAGGAGGATTAAAAGTTTGAAGCCAAATCTGATCTACATAGCAAGTTCCAGGTCAGCATGGGTTTACATAGCAAGACCCTGTCTCAAAAAAAAAAAAAGGCAAAAAAATACCTACTCCAGATGGAAAAACTACTGTATACTCAGGGTTTCCAGTAAGCATGTAAGCATGTAAGCCTTACAGGGCAGAGATATCTGGTGAAGAGCAGTCATCATTCAGAAATAAGTGACTGATAATGGTACCAGATTCTCAGTGGACTATCCTGTCATAGTCATCACTAGAGTCAAAATATTCACTGCCTAAATGTGGCACAATGCTAACAACAGACTTCTGATTCATGTGCTTTGAAACTTCAACACATATTTAATAAAGGAAAGTTTTCTTCCTTTCTTTCTTTCTTTTTTTTTGGTTTACTTGGGTTTGAACTCAGGCCTCAAGCTTGCTAGGAAGGGGCTAGGAAGGTGCTCTATCACTTGAGCCACTCCACCAGTCCTTTTCTGTTGCATATTCTCAAGATATGGTTTCAAGAACTATTTTGCCCAGGCTAGCTTAAAATCATGATCCTCCTGATCTTTGCCTCCTAAGGAACTAGGATTGTAGATGTAAGCCATCAGCACCTGGCCAAGGTTTTCTTTTTTGAATTTAACAGAATCATACTAACATTTCAAACTCAAAGACAGCTAACACTCACTTAGGACTCTATTAAAGCAGCACTTAAAGAATTCATGAACTCTCTTTATTCAATGTATTTGTAACTTGACATAAAAATATATGTCAAGTTCTGCTAGAGGCCCAGTCTGGTGGCTCATACCTATAATCCCAGCTACTCAGAAGGTAGAGACAGGAGGATTACAGTTTAAGGCCAACCACAGCAAAAAGTTAGCAAGACCCTATTTCAAAGAACAAGCCAGGCATGCCTGTAATCCCAGCTACTCAGTAGGTAGAGGTAGGACGATAGAGGACCTAGACAGGCCCTGGCCAAAAGTGCAAAATCCTATCTGAAAAATAACTGAAGCAAAACAGGCTGGGGCTGGGGCTGGGGCTGAAGTGGTAGAGCCTAGAAGGTGTAAAGCCCTGAGTTCAAACCCAGGTACTGCCAAAAAAAAAAAAAAAAAAAAAGTTCTACTAGAGTATAGAACTTAGAAGGTACTGCTTTTTAATTTCAGTGTTTTGCAAAGGAGAGTGACAGCAAGGAAGAGTGATGTTTGAAGAGGAGTAAGTAGACTGAGGTCTGAGCTTGTCCCCACCTAGCCACTTGCTGTTTCTTGATATCCCCAATCCTTGGTCTCTTTAATGGTAAGAGGGGATAACAATACCAAAACCACTAAAGGGCAAATTATGGAAGGTGATTTTTGTTTTTGGTAGTACTGAGGATTGAACTCATGGCCTTGCATGTGCTAAAAAGTGCTCTACCACTTGAGCCATGCCCCAGTCCTTTTTTCTTTTATTTTTCAAATAGGGCCTTACACTTTTTCCTGGGCCAGCATGGTCTATGATCCTCATATTTATGCCTCCCCATGTAGCTGAGATGGCAGGTGTGCCCACCATGCCCAGCTTTATAGGTTGAAATAGGGACTTGCTAACTTTTTTCCCAGGCTAGATTCAAACTGCAATCCTCCTGATCGCCACCTTTCAAGTAGCTGGAATTACAGGCATGAGTCACAATGCTTAGCCTAGAAGGTGATATTTAAAATACAGAGCTGGGCTCACTGGAGGTACTAACTTCTACTTCTCCTATGCTGTTTTATCTCAGATAATTATTCTCTCAGTCACCCTGAGTTGTAAGAAGTTTCTTCTGCAGTCTTTGACACAGAAAATGTTCTCACACAATGAGTTTTTGCTTAAATCCTTGGGTTACTTTAGGAGCCCTATTCCCCACTTCTCTTCCTAACTCAATTCGACCTCCTTTCCTGCAACTACAGTAGCCAGGTCCAGTTCATCCCCCTTTAAGTCTTTGTGACATTCTTTCACCTAGAATGCATCCTTCCTGGTACTAACTAAATAGTAACCATATTTTTTAACTTTCAATGGAATTTTTGCCTCCCTCTAAGAACTGTTCCTTGATCTATTTGCCTATAATAAGCTTTCTTCCTGATTTCTGACTCTTTCCTTCCATCTGTTTACTCATTCATACTTACTCACATTGTTCAAAGTGTAAATCATAAACCAATGACAAAACAGACAAATCCTGTGCCCTCATGGAACTTAAACTCTAATGCAAAAAACTACATTAAAAATTAGGCTAAATATGAGCTGGAGGCATGGCTCAAGTGGTAGAGCACCTGCCTAGCAAGAGCAAGGCCCTGAGTTCAAACCCCAGTACCATCAAAAAAAAAAAAAAAAAAAGATAGATAGAGCTTAGATAAAGCACTAAATAGAAATTAAGGAAGGGAGATAAGTGTGTGTGTGTGTGTGTGTGTGTGTGTGTGTGTACTGGGGAGAGGGGATGTGAATTTTAAATATGCACTACTGAGAATGTATCCTTTAAATGAAGAATATGAGTGAGCAAAAAATAAAGACAGCCTTGGTGAGGGCTGGTGGAATGACTCAAGCAGTAAGAGAGCCTGCCTAGCAAGCATGAGGCCCTAAGTTCAAACCTCAGTGCCACCAACCACTACCCCCCTAAAAAAAAAACAAAAAAAACAAAACAAAGGCAGCCTTGGTGAGATATGGAAGTGAAAGTCTGACTAGGTGGGCCCAAGAGAGAATAAAAGAACAGAAAATAGAAACACCAAACACAAACAATTCTTTTAATGGATTTTGTCATAAAGGTATGGAAAGAAAAAGGGTGTTAGCTAGGGTGGGAAAGCAGGACAAAAAAAGTTTTCTATTTCAAGGCGAGCCAATGACATGTTTCTTTGGTGAAAGGTTTTAAGTCCTCAATAATGTAATAAAATGTAAGGAGGAGAGATATTATGTACTTGTTTTGAGTCCTCCACAAGGTTCAAGAACTGAGAGACCAAGCAGCAATTTATGAATTAACACCATTAGTGACCTATAGTAGAGGGTGTTAATATCAGATCTGTCCTACAGATGTCAGGGTATATTACTAATCTTTTGGGGAAAGGGGTGCAAGGCAGGGATGAACAGAACTTCTTTCTTCTCAGGAAATTGTCTACACATGAGAACACATTTTTCAATCTGCTTTGAACAAATTTTAGTGTAGAATATTACCAAAGGCTTTCTGAAAACAAATGAGCTAATTTTCTCAAAGAAAATGACTGAGGAATAGGAAAGAAATTACTAGCTTTATAAGATAATAGGTCATGTGGCAATTTAAAACCAAGAAACTAGAGCTGGCAGAGTGGCTCAAGTGGTAGACAGCCAATAAAAAACAGAAAAGCTGAGGATGTAGCTGAGTGGTAGAGAACATGCTTAGCTTGTGCAAGACCCTAAGTTCAATTTCCAGCACCAAAAAATAAAAGTTAAATAAAAAGCAACATTAAACTGGGTGCAGGTGGCTCACGCCTGTAATCCTAGCTACTCAGGAGGCAGAGATCAGGAGGATCTCGGTTCAAAGCCAGCCTGGGCAAAAAGGGACCCTATCTCAAAAAAAAACCCACCACAAAAAAAATGGCTGGTGGAGTGGCTTGAGTGGTAGGCCACCTGCCTAGCAAGTATGATGCTGTCAATTAAAGCCCAGTACCCCCACACACACACACACACAAAACCTGGATAGAAATTTCTTCACAATTATTTCAAGCTGGAGTGGCACATGTCTCTGATTCCAGCACTCAGAGAGAATCTTAACTTAGAGGTCAGATTAGGCTACATAGCAAATTCAGGTCAGTCTGGGCAATACAGTAAGACCCTGTCTTAAAAAAAAAATTATTTAAAAAATAATCTGGAGGCAGGCATGGTGGCACAGACCTGTAAATCACAGTACTCAGTAGGCTGAGACAGAAAGATCATAAGTTCAAAGCCAACCTGGGCTAGTGACATCCTGTCTCAAAAAAAAAAAAAAAAAGAACTAGACCATAATACATAAACAACAAAATATTACCAAACTATTCCTACACAAGAAAATAAAAATAGATTTCCTACATTTTAGAAACATATTTGCTAACTACCATAGAAATGCCAAATAAAATTATCTTGAGTATTATTTTACATCTGAATTATTAAGGTAGTAGTGCAAAAGAGGCATTAATGGGATGTAATTAATGGGATGTAGGGAGAAGTGTAAGGCTTTCTCCCTACAGCCTTATCCCTACATGATCTTTAAAGCAAGACATAGAAGAAGCCAAGGCAGTGTTCAGTCTCTGACCAGAGTATGCCACATTCAGCATTATAACTTAGGAAATAATTCAAGTTGCTCATGAAGATCTATCAGAAAAGTTATTGGCAGCATAATTCAGAATATCAAAAATAGAAATATGAAACAAGTTTTAGAAAAAAATTTGTAATTATAAACATGGAAAAATATTAATGTCATAAATACAAAGAGAAAAATTTCAGCAACATAAAATATGTGCTGGATACCTAGCTATTTAGGAGGCTGAGATCCAGAGGATAGAGATTCAAGGCCAGCCCAGGCAATTAATTCACAAGACACCACAACTAGAGCAAAAAAAGGACTGGAGTTGTGGCTAAAGCGAATGAGCACCTCCTTTGCAAGCATGAAGCCCTGAGTTCAAATCCCAATTCCACCAAAAAAAAAAAAAAGTACATACATACTCAGAACTTAAAATGAAAGCACAATGAAGGGACCACAGGTAATTTTACTTGTAGCATAACATTTTACAATAAAATTAACTTACCATTTGATTTAAGAGATGAAAGGGTTTTTTTTTTTCCACTTAAGACATTTCTATCTTAAAACAGCATTTTAACAGTATTTTATACAAAAAGAACACATACCTGATACTCGTCTACTAAATCTGCTAGGAGCTGGAACTGGAAAAAAAAAAAAAAGAAAAGCAACATTTAGTTATCATTATTTCACATGCCCCTATTCTTATTTTCCCTTTTTACAGAGATCTGACAAAGGAACCAAACACCTTAAAATCAAGTGGTGAGTCTATTCACATTCTTCCATATTCAGTGACAAATGATCATATAAAGACAATCTAAGAAATAAGACATTTCTTTATAAAAAAGCTTATAACTTCAATTTTACTTCTGCTTAAGTCCTCCAAATTTACCAATAATGCTATGATATCAAGTAATGAAATTTCCCTCTTTAATACCCTTTAAAGATCATTTAACATTCTTTAAAGAACATTCCTAGACCTGCTAGATAACAGCATCTAAATCCATTTCAAAGTAATTTAATGAGTATTATACTAAAATTCAAAAAAAGTTAATATTTTCTACTTCCCCAAATATGGGTGGGTTTTCTTCTGTCCGTGGTCAGTATATTTATTAGAAAAAAATGCCCCACATGTCTTTATGTTGGGGGAAAAAAAAAAAACCGACTTTTCTCTTAATTTTCTTCTACTTTTCAACTACTACTTTATGCTTGATAGTTACTTAAATTCTCACTACTAAACTGTATCATTTGCATAAAATTTATTTTAAACTTCAAAGCTTAATCTGATTATATTTATTTTAAAAAATACATAGAGGCTGGGGCTATAGTTAAGTGGTAGAGTGCTTGCCCGGCTTTTGTGAGGTCCTGGTTTCGATTTCTGACATGACCAAAAAAAGGTGGAAATGTGTACAACAAAAAAAATATAAAATAAACCCTTCCACCCTTCAAAGTTCAGAGGACCAAACAAAACCAACATGAGGCCTCTCACTGAAACAAAAATAGGTCCAAAAAGGAGACAAATGTTCATTTATAGTAAGACTAGAATTATCTTTTCCTGTAGTCATGCTACTAGAATAGGCCATAATTCAAAAGAAAACCACAGCTATTATTGATAGAAAAAACCTTACAACAGTCCCTCACTACATCCTCAATGAAAGAATGGGTTAGTCAAAATCTATTTAAAAGCAAAGCAAGACAATGAATTCAAGTGAACAAATATTTGTGGGTACTGGTATGTGCCATACATTGTTCCACAATTTGGTAGACATTAGTGAACTTTCAAGGAGCTTGCATTCTAGCTTAAGAGATGTGAGGGGAGTGTCATTAAGTCATATGAAACACAGTACCTGTCACTCAGGTAAGACAGATGAAATGTTCACTAGCTTAAGCTCTCATTCCAGGCCTCACAGGATTTTCATAATTAAAGTCCCAAGGAACATGACTACACAATGTAAAGTTATAAAACACACAATGAAATAATTTAGCGTGAGTGCTACCAGGGAATACCTCAAATGAAAGGTTAAACATAAATATTATGAGCTATTACAAATAAGTATGTTTCAAACAAAGATATAAAAAAAAGAATCAAAGGCATAAAGTAAATAAAAAGATAAGATTAAAAATAGCCAGGCAGACTTCGAAAAAACTGAACTTCTAGAAAAAAATGTCATCAATGAAATTAAAAACTATGACAAACACCAGGCACTCTCAGTACATGACATCTAAAAGCGCTAGAAAAATTATTTTAAAAGGTCACATCAAGTCAACCCCATCTCCAAAATGACCAGTGCGAAATGGACTAGAGGTGTGGTTTAATTAGTAGAGCTTTGCAAGCATGAAGCCCTAAGTTCAAACCCCAGTTCCACAAAAAACAAACAAAACAAAACAAAACAAAAAACTCAGAAAGCCTGGAAAGCCTCAAAAAAGTGTTGGACAACACATTTTGGGTATTGAGACACAAACATTGTACTAAAGATCTCATTACTGGCTAATAAATGTAGAAAAAAAAGACAATGAAAAACAACAAAAAGATTGAAAACAAAATAAAAAATTAAGAAACAAAGACAAAAAAATCATCCACTGCCAGGCCTGATGGATCACACCTGTAATCCTAGGTGGAGATCGGTAGTATTGTGGTTCTAGGCCAGCCTGGGCAAAAACGTTCATGAGACCCCATCCCAACCAATAAAATTTGGACATGGTAGTGTGTGCCTGTCATTTCGGCTACTTGGGAAGCATAAACAGGAGGAATGAGGTCCAGTCCAGGATAGACTGGATATAAAAGTGAAGCCCTATTCAAAAAGTACCTAAAGCAAAAAGAACTAGGGGTATGGCACAAGCCCAAGTTCAAACCCCAGTACTACTACATACAAATTCATTCTGCTTTATCTGTGGGTTAGAAGAGGAAAAAAAAATGCTATTTTTTCTCCACATTTTATCTTTCTGGAGAACCTTATATTAATTAAATGAGGTACATAGTATTCAAAGTTTAAAGAAAGAGCTCCAATGGTACATTTACCTTGATATTGTACTTTTCACTACTACATGTAAATGTGTGCTAATAAGGAGGCCCATCTCCCTTGTTTGTCTATCAGTTTATATCCATATTCCCAGTATCTACCTATAGAAAGGCTCTTATCTTACTGTGACTGATCTCTAACTATACCGATTCATATAGCTACTTCACTTAAATATATGATTTCTCAAATAAGCTATGTGTGGGCTGTCCCTGTTTTTATTCTTTTCTTTTCTTTCCTTTTTGCAGTACTGGGGCTTGAATTCAGGGCCTTGCCCTTGCTAAGCCACTTGAGCCACTGCCACTCTGCCAGTGCCCCCCCCTCCTTTTTGTTAAGAGCTCTTAAAATCTGGCTTCTATTTTTAAAGCTTTCTCTAAAATCACAATTTTCCTCCATTGTTTTTCTGTATTAATTCCTTAATCCCTGAACTAAAAGAAAACTACTCAATATTGATCATTCAACAATTACTGAGCCCTCCCCCATGACAGGCACAATTCTATCCAGTCAAGAAATAAAGCTGATTCAGATATGGTCTGTTGCCTACAAAGACTTTTTAGAAAGCCAAGCATGGTGGTATAAGCCTGTAATCCCTGCTCTTGGGAGGCTGAGACAGGAAGATTAAGAGTTTGAGGTAAACCTGGGCTACATAGCAAGATCCTATCTCAAAAAAAAAAAAAAAAAACTTTTAGAATCTAGCAAAGGATTGAACAACAACAGAATCACAATAGTGTTATATATTACAACAAAGGCCAAGTACAGAGGAAGTGTTCAGAGAAAGACAAGGTAGGTGCTGGGTCTAGAGAAAGTAAAGCTCAGCATGGTTGGGGCAGAAAGTGAGTAAGCTTGTGATTTCAGGAAATCAAAGAACTGGAGGGCATAAGTGTGAGCAGTATGCGAACAAAACACTGAGATCAAGGTGGAAAGGTGAGTAAGGACCATTTTGGAAGTCATTCTGTGACATTACAATATTCCCAAAAGTTAAACTAGTTGTTCCTCTGAATGTCCTAACTACTTCAGCTAAGAAGATTTAAAATACAAAGCCAGAAGCGAAGTCTAGAGACTGGCAGCCAAGGCTTAACGGGAAAGGAAGTCTTCACTGGGAGAAGGGGGGAAAAAAAAAAAAAAAAGAACCCTCTATTCTAACACCAGGGAGTGGCAGGAAGGTCCTCCAGTATAGAATACCTGGCTTTGTACTCCATTGATTCTCTACCTGCAGGTTCTCTGCTTTCCTCTGATCAGACCACTGAAAAGAGACAGCAAACTTGAAACATTCCAAACAAGGTAGAATTGGGCAGAACCAGTTGGAAATGTTCCCTATGAGTAGATCAGCAGTAGACACAGTACTTCTGTTACACCATGAAAGGACTGGAACAAAGGGAGTCATGACAGACTGAGTTTTATACAGATCACTCTGGCTGCAAATGGTGGAGGAAAGTAGTGGCTGAAGTTAGATGTGTGGTTTGTGGCTACAAGGAAAATAAATTCCACAGATGAGATAAAATCCACACACTTTAGTGATAGAAACTCAATGTGTCAATGTCTGTTCTACAAATGTCAATCAAATAAATTACATCTTTGTAATTAAAAAAAGACAAAATATCCAATATGAACATCATTCAATCTATAAATAAGCATGCCATCAAAGATTATAAAATTATAAAATGTCAGAGTTACAAAGTATCCATGAAGTCATCTGGTCTGGCTATGGCAAGCAGACTTCATTCCCCTCACATGGCAATTCTAATTGATGTCACTGGTCCCCTGAGTCATCACTGACTCCTTTCTCTCTTTCACTACTCACACCTACTTCATTAACAATTCCATCTGTTCTCTCTCCCACTTAATCAGCCTATCTCTCCACTCTTATCCTACTCTGAAGTACATTTATTTCTTGCTTGGATGATTTGTAGTAGCCTCCTAACCTGTCTTCCCACTGCCAATCTTGGTCCATAATAATAATAATGATCTTCCCCATGCAGTCATCAGAGTGATCTTAAAATTTAGGAAGACAATTTGGCAGTCTGTCAAAATTTTTAAGTATGAACTGCTTTTAACCCAGCAATAATTCTACTTCTAGAAAAGAATATATTCTTTCCTAGAATAGGATATATATGTATACATATATATATATGTATACATGCATATTTACGTGTATATATACAAATAATCACTAAACTACTGTATATAATATTTTAAAGGGAAACAAAAATTGTCTAAAAAAATAAATCAAGGAAATGTTGGTAGAGCAAGAGTACAAACTGACAATGCAAAGAGCTTCAACATATATGGTTGGGGGCTAGGAGTGTGACTCAACTGGCAGAACACCTGCCTAGCAAATACAAGGCCCTGAGTTCAAACCCAAGTACTGCCCCCCACAAAAAGATACACTGTTATCTGAAAAAGCTAATATCAGTTAAAAGCTAAAGTTAAACTAAAAATTTATTTTTGCAGTACTGGGGATTGAACTCAGGGCCTTGCACTTACTCTACATTTGAGCCAATCCTCCAGCCCTTTTTTGCTTTAGTTATTTTTCCAATAAGTTCTCCTGTTTTTGCTCAGTCAGGCCTGGAACTCAATCCTCCTATTTACGCCTCCTGAGTACTGGGGTGACAGACACGCATCACCAT